GTTCCGCATGTCCGAAGACAAGCCCCAAGACTACAAGAAACGTCTCTCGGTGGAGCTGACCAGCTCTTTGTTCAGAACTGAGCCCCTGGCCTGGAATGAGGTGCTTACAACAGCTGTTCAGATTGGTCGTGTTGTGGTCATATAAATATTGACGGCCAGCAAGGGCCATTATTGTTTTAATGCACAGTTGTTGAAGCAAATTAGGACTCAAGTGTGCTGGTTCATTCATGGTCATTTTTTTCTCCCCCCGCCTATCCAGACTGGAGATCTTGGATTGGATATGGGGGCACAAGGAGATCCTCTGGCTTACAGGCAGGACGGTGAGCACTCTCTTTCGCAGTACTTTTGTATTTTGGTGCGAGTCAAAATATTAGTTACGAGTGAGCTTCAGATCTGACACTACTCAAGTGAAGTTGGAGGGGGGGAAACCACATTTACAGTAAACAGACTTGATAAAACCATGTAACTTCGTAATGCATTGTATTCCCAGACTGCTTCTATAGAAATGAAACTACACATTTAACAGACCATCCTAACATTTTTTTTTTTTTCCTCCCGTCTCTCCTTTTGCAGACGGCGCATACCGGACATACCCTGCAGGCTACGGTCAAGACACCCTGCTGGACCCCATGATGGAGGGGGCAGACTACCACACCGACGCTCTGCCCGACCTGGGCCACCACACCGATCCCCTACCAGACCTCGGTCACAGCCAGGACCTGATGGACAGCAACCAGCTGGCCTGGTTTGACACTGACCTGTAGGATTGGTGAGAGCAACTTCTTTCACCCAACGCATAACCGTCCTGTTTATAGCCAATTCTAGCTTTAAAATCTAGTTTAAGTGGCGAACTTATTGAAACGTTCTATGCTTTTTTTTTTTTTTTTTTTTTTTTTTCAGTTGTTCCGGTAGAGCCTGCATTGTGATTGGCCTGTAACCTGTCTTGTCTGAAGCAGCGTTTTGAATGGCTGTGTAAAGTTGTGATGGTATAAGAAGGAACAAGGGTTAGTGGAAAGTGCCTGACACCAGAAAACAAAGATGATGGCTGCCATGGGAATGTTTTAAGCAAGTTGAAAACTGGGGTGGGTGGGGGGGCTTTAAAGTATCCGGGAGGAATGTGACATCACAAGATGGAGGTCTCGGCGCAGGTTACCTGTTTGGTTGAGTGCACATGAGTTGGATCTTAAAGTTGGTAACACATGTTTTAGGCTTGCCTGTATTATCCTTTTTCAGTTCTACTTTTTGTATTCTATTTTTTTATTTCTTTTTTGTATTACTCATTCTCTGTCATGGTACTGACCCAGCTTGCCTTCACACTAGCCATCTTAATTTTCTCTTCAGTGCTAATCACTTTTTTTTTTAAACAGACGTATATTACATGTAGTGTTAAGTTATAGTGATATTATACAATGTTTTTTTTTGTTATGGCCGAATGTGTAGAACACTAATAATCAGTTGTACTCCGACTTAAAATGTAACATTGTAGTTTTTTTTTTTTTTTTATAATCAAATGGAGGATGATACATTCTTAATATGTGCTTCTGTAAGCATAAACTGTCAGTGTCACATGTTCAAAAGAGATGAAACGTGGGTCAAATTGCGAGATTTGTTGGGGATAAATCTAGAGAAAAGTGTTTTATATACATTCACTGGTAGGTTACTATTTTGTATGCTATCATTGGGTGTGACTTGGAAAAAGCGGTTGGCACTATCAAAAGGTAGCCAGGTTGACAAACCAGTTAAGAGTCCTGCTGTGTTTCTTTTGGAGACGAGGTTGTGACACAGCTGAACAATAAAGTCATTTTATTTCATTTAGTGTCCATCCTTTCTTTCATCCTTATTTGAAGTAGGCTACCAATACTTGCGAGTCTGAGCTTTGCAAACTGCACAGGATTGTTACCAACTGCAACTACGCCATTTTTAAATGGTCTTTGGAGGAAGAGAGGCAGATAATTTAGATATACACACACTGCACTTTGATAGTGCAATACACCAACACGTTAAAGGCTCGGGATGTTTCTCATTCAGTCAGTAGGTGGGGGTAAGTGGCTGTCAAATTCCAAACATCTAAAATGGTCCATTGGTCCTCCAATGGAATTATTCAAATATTTAACATCTGATGCACACACTATTTGTAGACTGAATGGCTCAAGAGAGGCACATTTTAAATTGTGGTTGACTGTTACATAACGGTATACGTTATAGTGCTCTGATTTTAGGCAGAGGATTCATGAAAAATAAAAATATTTGACAATGAGGGAAATTAGGTTGTCGCCTTCACGGTTTGAAGTCTACTTGGTCCAGGTGTGCTGCCCCCTAGTGAGCAGGTTGCAAACCTGCACTTCACAACACCGAACTAAGATTCACGCCTCAAGTTTTGCTCCTTTGACTGCAACGCCTTCGGTGCTCATGCAAGCTTGGTAACGCGAGTTGGATATGCGTTTAAACGATTTCGCTCGACTCTGCACTCCTATGATGGCATGATGCCAATCACGCCATTATCAACGGCCATGTTTGCGAGTTGTGCCCACTCCTCTCTGCATTGCGCTCATCCTTCTCAGGATGACCTCTTCTGAACCCATCCAGCCTGTAGAGCTTGTACAGATGACAGCATGGCAATGATGCCCAGTAGCTGATGTCACCATCTCCATGCTTCCTCCCTTGAATGAAACAATGCCTTCTGGCACCACAATGCCCACTTTCTTTTCATCTTTATGAATAAAGACTCCATGTCTTTAACTGCTTGGAGATTTCGCCACTGGTGTTTTGGATCTCTGCTCCAAAAGTCAGTGATTCCATGAGCGCTTAGCAGAGAGCGCTCACAGGGTTCAAGTACATTTATATAGGGCACAGTTACAGCCCACCGCATGAATTTTTGTGGCCTACTGAAGCCAATAAAGTGTGTCTACTTCATATTTCTTGTGTCTACTTCATATTTCTTGCTGAACGGGTTTGTCGACTTCATTTAGGTGTAAAATCAGGACCAAAACAACAATTTGACTTCACTTTTTTACAGCTATTAAAAAACATTTTCACAATACCTGAACATAAATCGGCTCTGATTCCTGAAAATACAATTGCCCCCCCCCCCAAAAAAATGTAACTGTCTGTAGGTAGCGACAAGATGAAAGCAAAACACTCATTTGGTCTAAAATACCCCCCCAAAAACTCCACAACTTACTTCACCATAGTAACTCGGCACCAAGATGCCACGAAACATGCACTGAAAGGAAATGACATAAATGCATTCATTCCAGCACTGCCCCGCCCACAAAAAATGTTTATAAAAAAACAACACATATATATAGTAAAAACAAAACTAAGTGAACTCATTCATTTCAGATCCTTTTGGTGTGTGTGACATGGCCACCAGGAGCAGTATAATACACTCATGAGACAAGAGTTTCACAAATCCTGTCAGTGAAATCAGTCATTTGGAGAGGATAAAGAATACATGCATCAGGGTGTTTTGTCTGTATACATGAGTTGATGCACTAACGCTGCCAAACAGAGGCTATTAGAAAGCCTCTCTATTTAGGCTGTCTAACTATTCCACTAATAATTATTTAAAAAAAAAGACACCGAAGCATCCCATGAGTTCTCATCCTGTAGGAACAAGAAGGAATTCTTTTCTCCCTCCCCAGCGTCAGATATTCAGCTGCCTGCCCGCGTGGGGTGTCTCGGTGGAGATCCACATTCCTGCAGGGATTCTAAGATATCTGCCGTGTGTCTGTCCCACAGCTCTCTTGCATTGGTACCATTGTTTCTCCCCACCCTGACACCCCCATCCCGAAGCTCCTCCTCCTCCACCTTCCTGCCCCGGGAACAAATCCGAGTCTCTGTTGTATGTACGCGGACACGAGCAGTATGTGGTCAACCCACTCGGGGCATTCCTGCCTCTGTGAGGGCCAGTGGGACAGAGACAAGGACAACTGTGTACTGTGGGATAGGAGTGAACAAACATGGCTGACCCCATTTGCACTGGAACTCAGCAGCAATCTATTTGAAGTGTATCTCTGTGGGGTGCTAACATCTGATGTTTATTTCTGAGAGTGATTTAATTACCATAAGTGCTGCTAAAAGACAGTTTCTTACAGTTCAGGGCGTAACGATAGTGATTATTTTCCCCCCCTCCTCATCAATAGTTAATATTTGCATTGACCCTCACCCCCCCCACGTCCTTTTGCCATGGATTTTTTTAACAAGCACAAGTAAATAAATAAAAAATAAAAATATATACCCTACCGACCAATCGTTTGCCCAACCCTGCTTTAGATGCGCAAGTGTAATATTTGCCTGACATGGCATTTGTGCGTCTTAACTCAAAAAGATGTTTTCCAACTTAGCAAATGAAGGCATACTCCAAAACAAAAAGTCATCTGTTCTGAAATATTAATATTCCGATGCTGCCTGGGTGTAATTCCGGGCCGACTGACCCCCACAACAGACCGGGCTTTGTCTGCCAGCTGCTGCAGCCCGAACACTTGCAAACCAATAGCACCACAACAAACAGCTTGAGATTTAGAGAAAAAAAAATACCTATGCTGCTTTAAAAACTAATATAAACACACTCGCACATGATATGCATGTCATTGATGAGCTTTTTACAACCCCTTGGTTGCCCCCACCTGCATCGCAGTTCTGAGGTTGTACGCCTGTCAATCAAAGTCAGCTGAGGTTGGCTGCAGCTCACCCGTGACCCTACTTGATACAATCAATGTCGAAAATTGATGAACGGCTGGGTTGCATGAGCCTTTAATTCAAAAACATTCCAGTTTACCAATAAGACCACTGAGGGCCATTGGATCTGGATTGTTGACCCCGAAGAGCGCCGAAGGCAGATGGGAAAAGGAACAATGGCCCGACCCATTACGAAGGGCGGCAGCGACTGACACAGCCACTGTTGCTCCAAAGAATGCTTGGAAGCACGCCAGAGATGGACCTCACCCTCCCCAATGTCCACTGTCCCATGGTGCAACTGGCCTGCTTGGGCGACACCTTCAAGAGCATCAGAGGGGAAGCAAACAAACAAGCAGTGTCACCATCGTCTTTGGAGCTTAGAAGGCTACCGAGAGGTTGGAAGAGGAAGAACCCCACCCCGGGCAAGCGCAACTTGCATGGCTACGGCGAGCACCTCAGGGCTTGGCAAGAAGAAAAAGAACCCAGGACTCATGGATTCTATTAGCAAGATCTTTGGAGGGGACAAAAAGAAAAGGAGCAAGGTGGGCAACAATGCATTTAAAAGGGTGGTCTTTTTTTTTTCTCCCCCCCATTACCATTTAAACTGATTTGAACGGAGGTTGACTTTACTGCTTTAAAAAATATATATACATATTTATCATTTTATACTGACGCATCATTTCAAACATTAAGACGTTCTAATTGATTTAAATTACCGTAGTCACTCAATGCACGCCATGTGTTGTGCTTTCAGCAGCTACAATCCACCTAATAAGAAGAATTGTTATTCTGATTGGAATTGCCTCATGCTGGGCGATGTTTCAAATATTTTGTCCTCTGCTGCTTAAAAAAAAAAGATGCAACAGTTTCACAAAGCCACACACACACACACACACACACACACACACACACACACACACACACACACACACACCAAAAAGGGGCCAAATTCTGATACTCTTCGTGCATGAAATCTCATTAAATTAGCCAAATATGCATTTTACTGTATTGCCAAATGTAGTTTTCGCCCATAGTGTCATGTTATGTTATGTCTGGAATGCTATCTGTTCTGAATAAACACGATTGCTCATGATCACATTTTAATTGTTGTCCTTCATAGGGGTCATTCCGGGGTCACCTGGCCGCATCACCCCAGCAGTCCTCTGCCCGCCGCAGGACCAATGAAAATGCTGTGGTCCAGTTCTTCCGCAACATTGTATGTTTCTTATTTAAGGACTAAAATATACGCACACAACATATATATCTATAAACAGAGTGCAATTGCCACGGTGTCAACTGTGTTAGCCTGTGATATTATTATTATTATTTAACTTCTAAGAAAAATGACGTGGCTGCTGCAACCAGTGCAGTTGGCCACGGCCTAAACGTAAAATAATTTGCCAATAATGCATGTATTTAGTTATTTATGCTATTTCAGAGTCTGAGCTTGTACTGTAAAATAAACTTTAGTGTGCAAACAAGGCTACCCTGTGGAACACCATATTGAACATTTTAGATGTCTCCATATGAAATAATGCCAATTCAAAACATCTATGCTGCTCTAACTGAGAATCATATTGGATTAATGCAAAAGTGGAGTTTCGTCTCCTCCAAATATTTTATTGCTGAAGTGGCAATGAGTTACTCTGTTCTTTCTGGTCTCTTCTTCTCCTCAGGTTTCCTCGCCTCGTCCGAAATCCAAGGTAAGTGAAGTATTTGTTGTGTTTAATTGATCAACACTGATTTCTAGTATTTTGTTAGCTTTACCTTTCCAGGACACCAAATGGGGATGTGCCGTCAAAGGAACTCCATCATGCTTTGTTTTGAAACTAATCCTCGTGAATGGGAGCCTCATTACTGTCATCGCAAAGTGCCATCTCCCTTCATAATACTGTTTTCTTTTTGCAGTGGAGGGAAGTCTTTGGCTTGGTATGTCAACATAAAGTCACTTTTTTGAAATTAACTTTTTTTTTTTTTTGCGTGCATGCGTGTGAGTGCAATGTTTAAAATGCATGTTTGGTTTGCACACAAGTTGCTAACATCAAAGCACTTTTGGCCACGTAACTGCTTTCCTCACTCGGCCGACATTGATTTTTTTTTAAACTTGATCAGATCTCGGACAGAATAGAATTAAAATATTGCGGTATAAAATTGAACTTAAGCATTGGTTGCTGTGTTTTAGATTCTACACAGACCCCCCCCCCCAAAAAAAAACACGAAATGAACTTAGAATTCGATTGGATGGAATATTGGTCTGGCTGGTTAGTGAGTTAGTTTTCATGATTTTGAGTGTTCCCCATAGTTCAGATTTTTTAAATCTAAATTCCCAGCACACAGTACGGTACATTTTTTTTTTGACTCAGCCACAAGTGAAAACTTACAAAATGTTGTCTTATTCATGGTTCTGTTCCAATTGCAATTGCAATTTCCCCTTGTTTGCTTCCAACCCAGAGCAACACTCAGCTTCTTGGTGACTATATAAAACCACTCGACTCTTAACGAGCCACAACCGGTAAAACATTTTCTTGTAGGGTCGACTGGTTGACTTGTCATCGGTATAATTTCACAACTCTCTCTCTCACGTCAAGAGGACCCGACATTCCATCTGTATCCTATTTGTATCTTCTCACGTTTCAGATGCCGTCTTGTACTTGTGATGTGACACTGACCGACTCTCCCCCCTCCCTTCGCTTTGGTCCCATCACACAAAAGACACCCTCCACTTGTCATTCAGTCTCTTTCTCCTTGTAGGTTGCTGTTACTGCAATTCACTGCTCACTTTTAGGAACATTTGAGATCCGGGCATTCAATGGAATAATTATTTTTGTTGTCATGAAATATTGATCAGTCATATCAACGCGTCTATTTTAGTTTGGTGTCACCATCACTCTATCTTGCGGTTTTACTTCCCGACAGTGAATTCCTGAAGGTTCACTTGGGATTTTTCACCCTATCTTAGACAAGAGATTCATGTCGACAATTTCAGCATCCTGTTGCCGATCGACTTATTCACCCCCGGCCCAACTATAGCTATAAACCAAAATGATTTTTTTTTTTTTTTTTAAATATTTGTGTATCGGAATTAGGTGAAAGATGGTTTTCGGTGAGCTTACGCGGCATGTTTTTCTAGGCTTCGTCACCACGTGCAGAGAGCACAAAGTCACCAGTCAGACGACGCAGGGAGCAAAGCACACTGTCCAGACTCTTCAACCTGGTGAGCAACATTCCACCCCCCCTCCCCCTTGACAATCCACCCTTTTCGACGCCCTTCTGCACTCAATAGTGATCTCTTTAAAAGTGAACCATCTCATGAAAGCTTTCCAATCTGTGTTGACACCAGTGACGCTCTCATCCGAAACCAGTGAGTAGCAGATTGCTAAATATGAACCCTCATTTAGGCTGGCGAGTCACAGTATCATATCATCATCATCAACTTTTTTTTTTTTTACACATTCATCAATTTAATGCTTAACGGCACCCATTTTTTTTTTGTTTTTTTTTTGCTCCATTTGGATGAATCCCACTAAATGTGAACAATTTTGACAATCACATCTCAATTTCATGGGTCCCCGCAACTCTGACTGGAAATTTAAAGTCCCTGTCAAGTGAAAGTGACACACCACAGAGAAGCGTGTGAACAAGGCCGTCAAATTTGAATGATTAAAAAATAATAAATAAAAATGTAGAGGGCATATCCATTAAATGCATCAAACCATGCCCCACTGAAAAAAAAAAAGGATTGTATTTTGTAGCATCTTTCTTATGGCTACTACCAATTCTCTTCACATGAGGATAATCTCTGAATTGACTTCACAGGGTCTTTAAATCACACCTCGTGGGTTCTTAGCAACCAATCGTCGTGGACAGAAAGTCAGTTTTACGCCTTTGTCGTCCTCAGGGAGATACCAAGTCCCGCCCACCCCCTAAACGCTGGAGCACCATCTTCTGAGGTCTTCTCTGAGACCCAAAGCAGGAAGTCAAAGCAGATGGTGCGGCATGAGGGGGAGCAACATAAATCGGGTTGCGGCAGACTCACAACCATTGTGTGTTAACACCCTAACACTGGATTTCTGTACCCACTCTCCACAGATGGAGACGGTCTCGTCCAAGTGCTTATTTAGCTTTCCAAGTCTTTAAAAAGTCTTGTTAAGCTTTGAAGAGCGTATATACCGTATATATCTCACTGTAAAAAAAAAAAAAAATCTCCCTGTTGATTATCATAGTCTGATGGTGCTAATGTTTGTACAAGTTTTTCTACATCCGTCTTGTGTTGTCTGTTTTTTTTTTTCGGTATGAGCGATCCTTTGTGTGCCTCACCGTGTTCTATTAAAAAAAAACACACACACACTCAAAGGGTGTGCTTGTTAAAATGTTCTTGAAACGTACACAGAATTGTAACTGCTACACCTCAATGATTAATCATGTACAGGACAGTCAGAAATGAATCGATCTGGTGAACATGCCCTTTTTCATTGCACTGTTGCCCACTAATCAAAGCCCCACAAGTGAGTTGGTGGTATGCATGCTATTTATTACATTTGAAGACGTAACGTTTTGTGTGGTTTGCGGGGGGAAAAATAGAAAGGTTTGTTGATCCGATGGTCAGTTTGCAAGTGGCTCAAAGGTTTTAGGGGAATTAAAAAAAATGTTAATGGTTTTAGAAAGGATGTGTCATTTTTTTATTTAGTCTTCCTTGTGAATATTGTTGTCACTTCCAGATGTGTGCTTATTTTAATGAGTCAATGCCAAAGGGTGTTTTGGTGTTTTTATTAGAAATTAACACTTGTTGATTTTGTCATATTTATGAAGGCTTAAACTGCAGCCTAACAGAAATATAAACACTAATTTAGTTTACTCTTTGCTATGTTCATTAAATTGCATTATTATATTAAAAGTCCTTGAGTCTAACAATTGTCTGTCGTTTTTTTACATTGTTTTTAGCATTACATTTAAATGTGATGCAAGTGCTGCAGGATGGTAATGAACTCAACTCCCTTAATAAAATCAAAACTTTACGTCAATGTCTGCTAGCTTCATGCTAACACATAATGGAAAACTCCATAGACAGGCTGACGAACAGCATCGTCGTTGCGACTTTGTAACCCTTTAAACAAAAGATATTTGAACACAAATGGTTCAGTAACATGAAAACAAATAATGAACATCTCAGTTCCCAAAAATCAGATTTTTCTGGCTATTCCTTGATGGGTCAGGCATTACAGGGTTAATGCCCTGAGAACGGCTCCAACTACAATATTACAGTATACTGCTCCCAGATGGCTAAAGCACAAACACCAGTAGAAGCAAAATAATGTCCATTGAATTTAAAAAAAAAAAATTACATTCTATAGAATTTATTCAATCATTACTCTTGTTTTTATAAAGAATAATAAGTGTGACAGTATTTTTCTCATCAAAACATTACATCGTACATTGAAAAAACATCAGTGAAAATGATTTACTTCATTTACTTGTAATTTTAAGATCTCAAGAGAATTTTTGTTTCACTTTCTTTAGTCATTCCATTAATACATTGACTACAGGTACTTCAGTTTTGCAATGGTCCAAAAAGTCCAACTTCAATAGCGTGTCATGACTAACCTGCACTGGTCCGACAGTTTCCATCCAAACTTCGCTGCAGGAATGAGTGAGGGTCGCTGGTGTAAGATGACAAAACTGGCCAGAAATAATTAGTGTTACTTTCAAATATTACATAGAGCAATAACAGAATTTTAAACAACAATAGATATCTCTAAAATCAGATTTGGCGAAAGTCGAATTTCAAATATCTCACACACAGAACCATCCAAAGAGTTTGCGATATTGAAACACAGCTTGTTGCTTGCCAGCAAACCATAGCATGTCTTCCTAAGTAGCTAGCCAAAGCAAATTTTATATTTACGATTAGCTGACGCTTGTATATTACTGGGTATAATACATTTATCAATAAAACTCATATTTTTGTTTGAAGTTTAATGAAGTGTCACACCGTAAACACCGCTTGATAATAAACTTTCATCTTACCTCAATTTGCTTTTTACGTTCGACGGCGAGTTAGCTGGTTAGCCATTAGCCGGTGGCCCTTCGGTTCGGTTCGTAAGGTTTGCAGCGCATTCGAAATGAGTTCTTTTATAACGAACTTAACTTTTCTCACATTTCTGGCTGGGAAGCTCCTCACTGCCGCTGACTCGGTTGGAACACGGACAGAAGCCGTGCGTCTGCACGAATTCGAGTGCGGCAAGTTGTCAATGGTTCGTTAATTTGAGACAGGTGCGATCTTCGCGCGATTTAGCCTGATTGTTTTTTGAAAATCCATAAATTGAAATGAACACAATCGAAAACGATTTTTTTTTGAACGAGACTTTGTGTCTGCGTGTAAGGAGTAGAAAGCAGAAGTACACATTTTTGCGTAAAAATGTGAGGAGTAGAAGTACAAAGTAGGCTTTAAAATAACAACGCCACGAAATTATAAATACCCCAAATTTCTGCATAAGTATTTTTACTTCGTTACTTCACACCGCTGCATTAAGCTGACAATTTTAATGCAAAGGCACAGTAAAGGATAATTAGACACTGAACATAAAAGGACACTGTCAAGATAATGAGCATTCTCGAACACATAATCCCACAACATTATTCACAATTTAATGACAGTCCAAAACATAAACTCAAAAACTGTCTGATTGCCTTACTTGGCAAAGAAAGGTCAGGTACAAGACAACCAGATTTTTTTCGATAGTGCTCTTTTAGTAGTGTATTTGATACCACTATCCATACTCGGAAGATGTACCTCATAAAGTATCCAGTGAGTGAACATTAAAAAAGGATGACTGTTTCAGTCACATAAATAATGGTTAGCAATCGCCATTTTCATTTAGTACTAAAAAAAAAATAACTATACAACGTTTTTCCTTCACATTGTGCAAAACAGTATACAATAAAAACATATTTGTGTTGTATTCGATTTGTCTATTTTTCATGTTCCGATGCAAGTGGAAGGCAAATAATGTGTGTGCAAATATAGGCTTAAAAGAAATGACGAATTGTAACAGGAACAACAGCGCTTGTCACAAATGTACCTAAGCGCATCAATCCCAAGTATCTTTCCCCAAAATGTAAGACATCAAAATGTTCATAAGCCGCTCCAAAAGAGCTGCTAATGGGTCATTCCGTGTAAAAATCAACATAGAATTCTCCTTTCGCCTCTCAGATTTTCTTTAAACTTTGGAGTACTTGTGACAGGCAAAAAACATAGATTCCACACACACACACACACACACACACACACACACACACACACACACACTTTTTTTTTTTTTTTGCGAATTAAAGATGCTTGCCCCCGTGGCCCTTGTGAGAATAAGCAGATCAGAAAATGCATGGATGGATGATATCAAGCCTCAGAGCATTGAAGATAAATTTTGCATGTAACTCAAGACAAAAAAATATTTATATCTTGAAAAACTCATAGGTCTGGTCAATCATAAATTGCGGCACAACTGCAGTTTCAAAGGTATGGATGGTCACTTTCACTTGCAACCACATCTCAAAATGAAGTGAAAAGCTTCGCGTCGAAGGGAAAATCCTTAGTTTCGATTTTACATGGAATGACACTTCTAGATTCGAGACTCGCGTGGATGGTTTCAAACTACTTTGTTTCCTCAAAGTTCTCTCCCGCCTCCTCTTTGTATGCATGACCACCAGTGTCTAAATGTTGAGTTCTTAGTTCTTCCACAATCCCGGACACACTTCCCAGCAAACCGCTCATCCCATCCTCCATGTCTCCGTTGAAATCCACTTCCTCCACTTTCACTTGTCCTCCCATGGAGAGAAAGGCGTCCCCGCCATCAAACGAGTAACCGTAGCCATCGTCCATGTCGGCCCGAGCCGAGCCCGCGTTGTTATCGGAGGAAGCGATCCTTTCGCATCTGGCTTGGTGCCTCAGGAAGCTGTCTCTCCAGATGACCTTCTTCCCGCACACGCCGCACTCGTAAGGCCGCAGCCCCCCGTGGGTCTTCAGATGCTTGGTGAGATGATGTTTCATCTTGAAGGACTTGTTGCAAACGGGGCAGCCGAAAGGCCGCAGGTTGAGATGTTGCATCTTCACGTGGCGGTCGCGCATGCTCTTCAGCGTGAAGGCTTTGCCGCAGTGACAGAAGTGGACTTTGCCCGAGTACGGGGCGCTGGCCATGGCCACCGAGGATGACGACGACGACGGCGTTGGGGGCGACGAGGGTGGCGGCGGCAGACTGGCGGAAGAGGGCGGCAAATGGCGACTGGAGGAGAGGGTTAAGGAGGAGCCGCTCTGCACCATGCTGGTGGAGGGCCAGCTCCCCTCCGAGGCAGCCAAGGTGAAATCGGGCGACGCGGGCACCAGGGGTCTCTGAGAAACCTGACCCGTCCCATCTTCAATCTCATCATATGTCCCAGAGTGAAATTTGCCCTCTGTGAGACATGGCAAGCCCTCCTCAGCTTTAGCGACCACCTCCCCATCTTGTGGTCTGGACTCTTGTTGAGACCAGGGACCTGCTTGCCACTGCACTCGGGCTAAAACGGCACAGGGTTCTCCTAAAGGGCTTTCGGCTTTATGGCAAGGCGGCACGCTGGGCAACATCTGCGATTTAGCTCGTACCGCCACCAAACTCAACTTCGCCGTGGCTCGTCTTGACTCTTCGCTCTCGACTAACATGGGCTGTAAGTCTCCTAGAGAAATGAAGAACCACGGTTTGAAATTCTTTAAATGACCATGCTGTGAATATAGACTTAATTTATATTACACTAATAGATTTCATATAAAATGCCTTTTCGCTGAACTTGCCTATTTTTAGGATACGTGAGGAAACCCAGTGCAAAAAAAAAAAAAAAACCCACGCAAACTCCACACAGAGATGTTCCAACAGAGAATCGAATCCAGATGTCCTGACTGTGAGACGTGCTAACCACTAACACCACCTCATGCTAACTATATAAAATTGTTTTTTTTAACTTTATGGATAATAGGAGAAAAAAAAATAATGCGCTTCGTATTTTCCTGAGCACACATTTGTATTTGTGCTTAAAATTAGGGTTCATAGTAGCTTTTTTTTTTTAAGCAGTCAATTTTGGTGCCAATTTTATTGTTTTGTTTGTTTTGTTACTATAACAACAGATAATGACATTCAAACATCCCCCCCAAAAAAAAAAAAATTTTTTTTTCTCTTTGTCAAGTTAAATAATATTGGAATGGAGTGACGGTTTGTCTTTTAACCCTTTTCCGTTCAGTCTGATTGACAAGTTAAGCTGCTGCCTGCGAGACAAAACATGATACAAATTTCCACACTTAAACATGCTTTACGCTAGTATCATAAATTGTCTTTTTTTTTTTTAAAAAACTGTTGTGTGTTTAATCTTACCACAATGACCCGTTGGTGCAAATCCTTCTTTCTTCTCAACTGCCTCTTCTCCAATTCCTTCATCCGCCTCCAGCTCTCGTTTCTCATTCTTCTTCCTCTGCGGTGTGTCGCCACCCTCACCGCCGGTGTTCCTTTCGCTCTGCCTGTCAACACTCTGCAGAGCTGCTCGAGGCTGACACCTGAGCTTCTGTTTCAATATCTCTGCACTTGGGCTACCGTGGCCGAAATGGCCACTTTTGCTGTCGCAAGTCTCTTCGCAGCAGGTGTAATCGCTCTCGGAGTATGGGAGGGCATCCAGTTGGGAGTCGGCCAAGTGCTGCCCCGAGGAGGGCCGTGAGCTCCCCCATCTCGAAAACTGCTGCGGGCGCCTCCACGTCGCTAAAGGAGGCAAGGCGTCGGGTTTATGTGCCTCTTTCCTTCTCCCGTCTCTCTCTAGATACAAACAGTCGGTGCTGCTCGGCGACTGCTGTCTGGATGCGCCGCCGGCGTAAACTGCCGAAGCGTCCGGCGGGGTTACGTCTGCCGAGGGCCGGGGTCTTTTTAGGATCTCTGTGCATTTGTCCACGATGTGCCACATCTGGAGGAAACTGGCCACGGTGACGTAGTTGACGATGTCATCGTGAACGATACTCAGCTGGCCTGTGTACGCGGAACTTAGCACGCTCTCAAACGCCACTGGGTCCATGACTGACGGGAGGGAAACTGTTGTCACATTCTTCAGTAACACCTTAGGACAAACAAATGACAGTAAGGGATTCATGACCGACAACAACACAAGAAAGCACAGTTCTAAGCTTTCTCTCTTTCGAAAACACCCTAAGCCGCCACAAGATGGCACTAAAGAACCGCCTAATAGAAAAATAGTACTTTGGTGAAGTTTGAACACGTGTCTCCCACTTTGACAAAACCATGAAAATTAAACTAAAACACCTTTGTTTGTTGTGAGAGAATATCCTACAATTCAAACACTCTTATTTAAAATTAAGAAATTAACCTGTATTAACACACAAATACAGACTGCGAGTCCCACCTGGTCATGGAAGTAAGGCGAGGATGCAGCGAGCACACAGCGATGGGCCTTGAACACTTTTCCTTGCACGTGGATCGACAGGTCACACAGCCGTCCCTCCTCTCGCTGGTGATTCAGATTGTCCAGGACCGCAGCACGCACAGATGGGAAACACACTTGCACAGTCAAAGCTGCGGGAACAGTCGAGGCGCTGGAGCTCGGATCCATCGTCGCGTGATGATACTATTGAGAGAGGCATGAGGTCAGATATGTGAATCCCATGTGTTCTCCATACTCAGTGGTGATCAAAGTTTATAATCACTTTAAATGTACGTATATTTTGGGGTTCCTGTGTTTAAAATGCCATTTATAGCTAGCTGGTTGACGCAAGTTTGAAGCTCAAGGCCATTTGAAGCAAAGGACACTGTAGAGACTGTATATTGATGAAATAACCGTGAGCCATTTTCTTCTTAACTTCCTTGAGTCCATTTGGATATATAGACTCATATATACGACTATATTTTGTATTGTTCACGATTAATCGTTCAATAAAGTAAAAAATAAAATAAAAAATAAACGCCCTTGTCAGGACCAACTATTGCGTCCAGAACCTTCCAATTGTCACCAATAAATACATTTTGTATTGAAGTGAGGCTCGAATTGGAAAAACACACCGTTGGGTGTGTTCAAACGAACAAAACGCAGCAAACAAACAATATCCTAGCTGAAAATGTGCACGCTTGAATACCAGATGTAAACACTTACCAGCCACTAGCACATTGAGCTAACTGACATCATTACATAAAGCACCCGCAGCACAGTCGACACTGTTTGTTATCAATAAACAGTATCAATGTTTAAGCACATATCTATTTGCTGTATAACAGCGCGTCCCGTGGCGTGTTGCTTCGTCTAATCTAAATTCCCTAATTAGCATCAATGCTAGTATGTGGCTATGACGCTAGTTAGTTCGCAGTTATTTTCACTTACCTGTCCGAAATCTTTGCGCGACGCTTTTTTTATAACGAAAACGTCGCGTCTTCTGTCATGCCCGGTAGATTTATCATTCCCGGGTATAGTGTGTAAAGTGTATTTTTTAAGTTGTTACATAAAAATAGTATGACGAAGAAAGCGAAGCAGGTCCTTGTTTACGACGCTGATGCACTGATGCTCATTGGCTGGCTAAGAGCACCACATTCTCCAACGTCATGAGGAAACGTTTAATTCCCTTTTCTTCCATGAGAATCAACCTAAAAGGCGTTTAATATTATCACACTTTGGTTATTTTCAATGTTGGTGACGATAAAAGTAATACTTTACATATGTGACATTGGAGATGGAGCCATTGGGTCACCGAGTTCCGCTCGTAAGTTTTTAAAGGGACATTGCATCGCAATTGAAAATTGCAGCTTTGCTTATATTGAAGGCCTGTGTATAGTTTTCGATCACGTGATTTTTTTTTTTTGGGTCACGAATAAATAATAAATCGGGTGTTTTAAATTCACATCGGGTCTCTTGTTATGATGCTGAAGGAAATACAGTACAGGCAAACGTAAAATAGTAGGCCTTTCCAATTTATGTTTCGTTTATTTTCTTTTTGTTGTTGTTGATAATAAATAAAAAATAATAATCAGGCCGACATATGACATGAGAGAATGACAAGAGATGGAGCCATTGGGTTACCTGCTCCAGCAAGAGGATTATTAAAGGGCCAGTAGACTTTAAAAGCGCTGCGCTGTTTTACAACGACAGATTATTTCTTGCGTAGTAGGCGTTTGAAATTAAGCGAGACGATTGAAACGAATGAGTGGAGGGCATACAAGCAACTGCTGTCATTGGCGTGCGTCGGTCTTTTACCGCAGTACGTCTGCAGCATCATCTGAGGGGCAGAGTTGCTGTGGCGCAGCATAAGGCACTGTCATCGCATCAAGGACGCATCTGTTGGGGCTTTTCGTTTTCTCTGCTGGATGATGGATTCGGTTGCGCGCCTTCAAGATGATCTACAGCGCGACCAGGAATTCTTTCTTAAGTCCAAGGGCTGATTAGATATCTGAAATTCCACGTTTTCCATCGTGGGAGAGGACGTCCCCCCCCCCCACCACGACCACGGAGGAGACTTTTAAATTGACGTTAGTAGGCGATCGGATTTAAATCAATATTTTTTGGTTTCGTACAAAGCAGCTGGCATACGTTGTAAAGTGATAATGCTGTATTTCCATTTGCCTGTACGTAATGCATAGACAGTTGGTGGCATGTACACGTTCATACAAATACTTTCATGTTTGTCGTTTGACAACACTCGAGATGATTGCATTTATTTCCACACCGCTGTAATGATGTTCAATGTTAACAACCTCAGGGATAAAGGTAATAGAATCTCAAGGTGAAATACCGGGCCGGGACACTGTGAGCCATCACGCGAATTGTAATGTTACACGTGCTTCTTTTTGCACAGAAAAGCAAACGTGTCAACTTCAGCGCAGCTTAAATTGTGTGCAGCAATAATTTGTCGCATTAAATATTATAATCAGCACGAAAGAGTCGACCTAAGCCAAAGAAGTACAACAGCGTATCATCTGTGTATATTTTCTTAAAAAAAAAAAAAACGGCCTGTAGGTGGATATATTTTGCACATTACAATGCACGTGTAGCTCCGAGAGTGCACTTTATTGACGTTGCTTTTTTTTAAAAACGAGCAATATTCTTCCAATCGAAAGCAGTATTAATCCTCTCAATAACTGTTGAACCGAAACATACAAGTAACTAGATAGATATACCTTGAGATCCCTCATTCCAATATAAAGCTACACACAGTCTGTGACATGACTCCTATACACATCCTGCTCCTTTTTCTCTCCTGCACATTATTTGGTGAGTTCCTCCCTGGCGTCATTTTTGTTGTTGTCAAGCTTTAAACGATTGCAAAGGAGATGAAATTGTTGTCTATTCTTGTAATATGCAAACAGTGCACCAGTGCAACGGAGCGTGTGCGGAGCCCGACTCGGACACAGAGGCGGGGGTGGGCCAAGGCTTTAAACTGGGCTGCATCTCCTGCAAGAGAAGAAGTGAGGTCAAAGCCAGCGCCACTGTTGAATGGTACTTCAAGGCCAAAGGAGAGGTGGACTTTGTGCAGGTGAGAGAACGCCTGTTATTGTTGAGATGTACTGTATTTATTTACTCAGAGAGGCCTGCAGTATTTGTGTTTTGCGCGTGCATGTGTGCAGTCGGACACATGATAGTACCGTATTTTCCACACACACAAGGCGCATCGGATTTTAAGGCGCTGTGAGCTTTTAAGAAAATGTAGGGCTTTCAGGTGCGCGTTTTAGTGCGGAAAATACGGTACCCCAGATGTCAATATCTTGTACACAGCAGTGCACGTTGACCTTGCGCGCTGTCCTCTATTTGCTCATTGATAACAAGCTGGAAAAATACTGGACACTTAATTAGCTGCACACCTGACCGGCGTGGGTGACGAAATTGTGTGTTTTTCTCCAGATATGTCAAAATGTTGGCTTTACATCGAGTGTCCTTATATGAGCCCACGGTAGTAAAGAAAGTGATTAGAAATGCCATGTCACCGTGTCATCAGATCTACACCTTCAGTGAGATGGGCCCCACGATTGAAAACGAACACTTCATGGACCGTCTGGATTGGAACGGGAGCAAGCGGAGCAACGACATCCAAGACGCGTCCATCTATATTCTCAACGTCACCTTAAATGACTCGGGCACATACCGCTGCTTCTTCAACCGCATCCTGACCTATGAAAACTACGAATTCACCACCGTTGTCAGCAAAGTGGTCTACCTCACAGTGGTGGATAAAGGTAGGCACGCAACCGTCCATTTGGGATCCAAGCATTGCGGGGAAAAAAAAAAAATATATATATATATATATATTAAAAATTGAAGATGCAGGAATGTTGTGCTGTGCGCATATCACCATGAAAATTCCTTTTTTCCCCCTCATTTGCGTGACATCATCTGTCTTACCTCCCCGTGCGCAGCCACCAGAGGTACAGCCTCCATCGTGTCCGAAGTCATGATGTACGTGTCCATCATCGGCCTGCAGGTGTGGCTCCTCATCGAGATGATCTACTGCTACAGGAAAATAGCGGCGGCCGGGGAGGAAGCGCTAAGAGAAGCCGCGTACGTAGATCAACTTAAGAGCCGTATTCATGTTGTGCAGCAAAAGTTATGTTTCTCATTCCCTTCCAGGAATGCTGAATATTTAGCGATAGCTTCCGAGAGTAAAGACAACTGTGCAGGGGCGCAGGTTGGAGAATAGCCAAGGTATGTCCAAAAACGCTTAAGAACTCGAACGACACGTTTTTTTTCAACATGCACACCCAAAGTTTCAGACCTTCATGCTTCACCTACGTTTTAAGTGAGACAATGTGCTGATTTGTAATTGTATTGAATGTACATTTTTGTTTTAATTCCATTGAAATGTGAATTAATTTTGACATGTATTTTCAAATTTAATGGTCTCATGCAAACACATAATCAACACCTATTAAAATCAAATGTCAAACCATCATGCCTCACAACCTCGAACGAACCACATCAAATTTGAATAATTTAAAAAATGTATTCACATGTATTGGAAAACGCTTAATAAAAATATAGTTTTTTTTGCAACAAGATTTGTTAAAAAAAAATGCTTTGGGGAATTGTGCCTTGTCATCTAATCACATTGTGTTTTCATTTTTAGGCTTCTATTTTGGACTCCAATACACATCGCCAACTGCATGACAACAACTTGCGGAAAAAAGACATCTTCATCTCAAGTCTTCTCTTTGATCTTTTCCTTTCCTTGATATTGACCTAAAAAAAATGAAGCACAGGACCTTGGTACCAGCACTGTTGAAATACTGTAGTTTGCGACGCACACAAGCAAAGCAGCACTTGGATGAGAAACCCATTATGCATGAATGAGCCATTGTTTCAAGTCATACAAAAAGTACTATGGAGACCTCATATATATTTAGATAAGATACACAACACTGCGGAAGCCTGAAGGACTCTGTGGTTGAATAAAAATAATCTTGATTTGAACAGACAAAACTGTGATAAACTCCAGGCATTTTCGTAAGAAAGGGGGTCTGCATTCTCTGTCGCTGGATGGTCTGACCCCGAAACAGTAATTTAAAGGGTACAAAATGGAGGCCTCGAAACTCTTGAGGAAAATGAGGGATGCACCTTTTGGAGTTGGAAAGATGGCTCAGACAAAACAACACAAGCACAGGACACTTTCAAATAGTTTAAGACGTCTGGTCCAACATGTCACCAGCATTGTGGGTTTGGGCTTTACTAAGCAACTCGGCGGACACGTCTTCATTCAAGAACAAACCGGACTATTTATTGCATTCATACAACTATCATCCTATGGTTCACCCTTGATGGCTGTACCACATTTGAGGCTACTCTATAGCCCCTCCATACTCCCCGAAGAGCTTCTTGGCAACAACATGCTGGGCCTCCTCAATAAGTCTGCAACGGAAGAATGTTGCTTGAAGTGCTCTCTGTGAAACCTACCTGTATTTTCACATCATATCGAACTCATTGCGAATTTATCAAAAAGCAATGTTTGAGCTGGCATAATTCTGTCAACTGCTTAGAGTTAGCATGAGTAAAACCTTTATCAACCGGAGATTAATAAAGATTAGTGACACTCACCAAACGCGAGCAGAATCTTCTCTTGCCCATGTAAATTTTTAAAAAAATAATATATTCCTATATTTTTAAATCGTTAATTATCTATATATTGAGGCGGTAACATAGTGATTGACAGGAAGCAACGATTGAGGCCACCCCGCCCAAAATGGAAAGTTCTTAAAGAGACAGTACATCAATCTCTCGCATCTCTGCTTTTCTGTAAATTGGGTGTTTCTTTCTTCAACGTTGAATGGATTGTGCGCAAAATAAACAAATAATGACATGTTTTTAATATATCTAAAAAAAATACAAAACAGGAGTGGTAGAATACCCCGTGGCAAGTGGCTAGGCCGTTTTACCGCACTGCATCAGCAGCATCCTGTGAACTGAGGCAGAAGTGCCGCTGTGGCGCAGCAAAAACACAGCCCACGGAGCACAGGACGCACCTCTCATGATTTTCCTCGCAATGTACGGATTTGATTGCGCTCTTGCAGGTTAATCTGCGATGCGAGCGCGAATCAAGGGATTCTTTGTTGCGCAAGGAGTCATTCGAAAGCTGAAATTTCAACGTTTTCGAGAAGCCGCCGCCGTCGTGGGGGAGAGGACGGCATTTTCTCGCGAAGAAGGCCTCTAAATTGACGACAGTAGGCGATAAGATTAAAATGAAATATTTTGAGATGATTATTTTTGGGGTAGTTTAGTGCTGGTGCCTGTAGTGGAAGCGATTTGATTAATTCACAAATTAATATCATACGTGCTTGCATGGACGTTTAATTTACTCAGTTGGTGGCATGTTACAAAAGCCGATTCATATAATGTCTGTGATACGATACCATTAGAGATAAGTGCATGTATTCCCAGGCAGGTGGAACGATATCTCTGTGGATCCCGTCTTAAAAACCCCAGGGAACACATAATCGAATCTGAAGGGGAACCCTGCGAGTACTCACGTGAATTGTTTTTTGTCCTTTTTTTTTTTAATATATATTTTTATAAATAAAAACAGAAGGAACCCATCGATTGAATTTTTACATTTAAGCACGGTGAAAATCATCTGCTCGCAGCAATAATTTCCGGTATCGAATGCTATAATCCACTCGAAACTGTTGATTTGAGCCAAAGAAGTAAAACAGTTCTGTTGGGATTTTTCAAGCACATTCTGTGGCCATACAGAGGCTTGTTTTGCACATTACAATGCATGCGTAGCTACTAATTGATTTATTTATGATGCTAGGCTGCGCTTTGATGACCCACAGCTTGTAAAAGACCAAAGCTCAAGTCAAATTAAAGGTGGTTTCAGCGTGTAAAGGCACTTTTCTAACTTTTGAGCCCCCCCCCCCACTCCCATTCCAATACAAAGCTCCTGTCTGTGACATGACTGCAATTCACATTTTGCTCCTTTTCCTCTCCTGCACATGGTTTGGTAAGTTTCTCTCCTGGCTTTTATGTTTTTTTGTGTCAGGCCTTAAAACAACCATAATGTAGACGTAATGGCTGTGTATCGTATTGATGCAAACAGTGCGACAGTGTGATGGGGCGTGTGCGGAGGTAGACTCGGACACAGAGGCGGTGGCGGGCCGAGGCTTCAAACTGGGCTGCATCTCCTGCAAGATGAGGAGTGAAGTCAAAGCTACTGCCACTGTTGAATGGTACTTCAAGGCCAGAGGAGAAGTTGAATTTGTGCAGGTGATGAGATCTCATCTGAGAGTCAGTGACCGTAGTTGATTCCGAGCAGTCCACATTTTAGAATTTCTCAATTGTGACATTCTGTATGTTTTCTCCAGACATGTCAAAATGTTGGTTTTACATCAAGTGTCCTCATATGAGCCCACAGTGGTCAAGAAAGTGATTTGAAATGCCATGTCACCGTGTCATCAGATCTACACCTACGGTGAGATGGGCCCCATGATCGAAAACGAAATCTTCATGGACCGTCTGGATTGGAACGGGAGCAAGCGGAGCAACGACATCCAAGACGCGTCCATCTATATTCTCAACGTCACCTTAAATGACTCGGGCACATACCGCTGCTTCTTCAACCGCGTCCTGACCTACAGCAACTACGAGAACACCACCGTGATCAGCAAAGTGGTGCACCTGAACGTGGTGGCCAAAGGTACGACCCAATCGATTGTGCAAAGATGTATGCAAAAATATCAAGTGAACAATGAGACAAAATACGAATGGGAATACAGTCAAGGGGCCCAGCGGTTTGCGTGTCAGGCTCACGGTCGCAACGCTTAACAGGAAACTTAACTCGTTCAAGAGCCTTGTGAGGTTACTTCTGGCGTTTGCGTGACGTCATCTGTCTTGCGTCCCTCCCTGTGCGCGCAGCCACCAGAGGTACAGCCTCCATCGTGTCCGAAGTCATGATGTACGTGTCCATCATCGGCCTGCAGGTGTGGCTCCTCATCGAGATGATCTACTGCTACAGGAAAATAGCGGCGGCCGGGGAGGAAGCGTTAAGAGAAGCCGCGTACGTATAGTTGACAAATTGCAACGTACTCAAACGTGGATGGCGGCAAAACACCATGTAACCTGATCGCATGGAGTAACCGCTGCCCGTGAAAGGGTGAAATTGCTTGTTTGAGGGTTTAGAAAAACCAGCGAATGCAACGTCGCAAGTCATTTCATTCTATGATCAAAGCTAAACACGTCAGGGAAAACAAACGTGAAGTGGAATGGCACTCTTACTCAATTATACTTTAAAATGTTACACTTTAGTAATATTTTACACAGGTTTCCTGAAATGGTCAGTTTTGTCATATCCAGCTTAATAACTATGTTCTTTTTTTTTCTCTTCTCCCAGGAATGCTGAATATTTAGCAATCGCCTCGGAAAGTAAAGACAACTGTGCAGATGTGCAGGTTGGGGAATAGCCAAGGTATGTTCAGACGAATCCGAAGCCGGGGGGGAATTGTTTCATGGGATCTAATAACCGACTCTTTATCGATCTCCAGGCTTCACTTTTGGACCAAACTCATATCTCCCTTTTTTTCCCCCCCCCCCACCCCCGCTAACTGCATGAAACCAAACTTGGGGAGGGGAACAGACTGCATCCTCATCTCCATCCCATTATGCATTAATTCGCCACGTCCTTGAAAGTATAACTCACGGTTAAGTATTATGTTGACGTTCTGGATATTTGTATGACATGCGCAACACTGCCTGTGGTGAGACTGTTGAAGTCGATTGTACAAGAAAGCTTTTTACTAACTCGTCACCTCTGAATGTCTGATTTAATAAAAATAATAATAATAATGTTATGTTATTTAAAAAAAAAACAGAATGTGGATAGATTGTCTTTCCAATTGAATTGCTGGTACGTTCAATGATACCTTCAATGTACGAATAAAAAAAAAAGAAAAGGACAAAAGTCATGGTTTGGTGGTCTTCTGCGGATGGCGAATAGAAAGCTGCGGCTTTTTTCTGATTGACATCTGGTTCTATGGAAATGAAAACAACGGGGACGTGTGTTGAGGTTTGCCTCGATGACATTATTATTTTTAAATCGCCGAAGCAACCGCGGTGTTGCAAAGCATGCTTAGGAGCACGCGAACCATTTCACGCTGGGTGGAGACCAGGAAAAAGGAAAAGAGATGAAAAGGGAAGTGGCAAGTGAAAACGCTCTGCAAATTTTTCATCTTATAATTTTAACACGCAGTCCGTTTCGGGGTAGCGGGGAAGATTGAGCTGGTATTTCCTCTCCAGGGCGGGCGGCACGAAGCGGCCTCCGAGGAAGTGATGGCGTCCCTTGAAAAGGGTAGCCGAGTTTTTGGGAGCCGTCAGGGAGATGAGCGTGTCGGGCTGCAATCCGTCGACGCTCCCCTGCTCCACGTCCCAACCTTCAAAGGAACAACAGGGCGGCATGATCACAACTGCGCCGTTGACGTTTCGGCAAACACTCCTGTGAACTTTTCGACAAATCAAATCAAAAGAGCCGCATTATATTTCTGTTCAGTATAGATACCGTAGTCGTAATATTCCGGGGGGGAAAGAATACGAACGAACCTGAGGGGATGTCAATGCTGGCAATGGGGACAGTGGTCTTCTTCAGGACATCGATGATCGAACCAAAAGGCTCTCGCACAGCCCCCTTAAAGCTGAAGCCGAAGATGGCATCGATCACCAGGTTGAAGGCCTCGTCAATCACTGGGGCCTAACAAAACAGCCATCCATCCATTATCAGAACTGTTTTATCCTCACGAGGGTCGCGGGGCGAGGTGTCGCTGATCCCAGCTGACCCCCGGGCAGTGTGCGGTGCATACCCTGAACTGCTTGCCACCCAATCGCAAGGCACATATAGACAAATAACTATTCACGCCATGCCACCCCCTAACCAAAACTCACATCTTAACAGAGTAAAATTCGACTGAAGTTGTGACAAACCTCGGGCATCTCTGTAAGAAAGGGGATCTCCATTTTCTGGCACTGGGTGGTCAGACCCTGAAACAGTGGCTTGTTCGGCCTCTTCGGGTACAAGATGGAGGGCTCGTAACCCTAAGACGGAGAAGTCACAAAGGAAACTTCCTTTTTCACTCGCGAATATGGCTGACTCAAAAAAAAAAAAAAAAAAACATGGGACACTCACAAATAGTTTAAGATGTCTGGCGCAGACCAGGCCGTCTCCTCCATTGTTACCCGGTCCACATATAACCAGCACTGTGGGTTTGGGCTTGACCAAGCAACTCAGCGGATACGCCTTCATTGGAAAACATGAGACTCTTATCTTCACATTATCATCATTGTGGAATGAAAAGGACATCCGGGTTCACCCTTGTAACGGCTGTAGCACAACTGAGGCCTGCGAGCTCCATCAGCTGGTCCACACTGAAACCGTACTCACTGAAGAGCTCCTCATCAATGCGCTGGGCTTCCTCTTGTCTGCAGAACACGTACAGGTCAATTTTTTTTTTTTCTCATTGAAAACGTTGCTTGAAATTCTCTCGGTAAAACACACCCAAGGTATTTGATACTCTGGGCCATGGCGGAAGCTGGTCTGCTACTATAACAGTCGTTTTGATGGTTGTGAGTCGATGGTGACAGCGGGCATTTCCCCGTTTGAGCAAAGACTGCTGCGGCCCGTGAAGTCACCAGGAAGCCGATTCCAAAAAGAGCGCGCACACTCAACATTCAGATGGTCCTACAAAAGGAAACAGCAAATGTCAGCCATCCTCATCATGCAGTTTGTTGTCACGGCTGACTCTCATCTCAGATCACACCGGTCGGCACAAAACTCCATTTTCTAGAAACAAATTGCAAACATCTTTGAATGCGTTAAAACTAAGTAGCAAACGTCAATGGCAAGTACAGTAATGGAGTATAATACTTTGTTACTGAGACAACACTAGCTAGCGCTTATATACATTCATACATAACATAATGCGATTTGATTCATTTTTCTTCTCAGTAGGGTGCATTTATGAAAATGTACTGTATAATTTACACTGAACGTGTAATTTTACTTTTCAATTGGTTAGGTACTTTTTCAAGCAATTGAATCAGTACGGTACTTATACTTTAACCATTAATAAAATAAAATACAAGACAAGTACGTCTGCATAAGAACAGCATGCGAGTACTTTTGCCACGTCGGGCAAATATCGATTAACTGTTGAGTTGACACAGCGGCTGACGATTTTATATAATCAAGACGGTGCGCACTTTCGGAAATTAGCTCAGATTTAACAGTTCAACCTTTAACGACAACCAGAGATTAATGGATATCAGTGACACTCACCAAATAACGCGGCGATTTTCCGTTTAGCATGCAAGATTTTCGTTAATGAGCATGCAATAACACAACTTACAAAAATAAAATTCCAACACGGAGAGAGTCAGCAGCCCGAAGAAATGACCTACTTCCGGGTTTGAGGAGCGGAACTAAAACAGGGCCTATATTTCAAAATAAAAGTATACAACCAGGAAGTTGCTCAGATTTCAATATAAAAGTTATTGAGAGCTGAGAGAAATCTTGATATACTGTACTCCAACTTCTTCCAATATTCCAAAACACACGTTTCGTCAAGTTCAGACTAAATTGTCCTGGGGTGCGAGTGTGATTGTTTGTCTTTATGTTTCCTGCAAATGGCTGGTGTTAAGTCCAGGCAGCATCCCACCTCAGCTGGGGTGGATTCCAGATTACTCATGTCACCAATAAGAACAGCACTAAAGAAGAACAACTTTATTCATATCAAAAAATGTTCACAAAAAGCAGAGCACATTATATTCACTTCAATGCTGTGAAAAAAGATACACGTATAAACGTCATCGTGTTAAAAATAGTGTCATTGTAAAAAAAAAAAAAAAAGGGAGCACATTATATTCACTTCAATGCTGTGAAAAAAGATACACGTATAAACGTCATCGTGTTAAAATAGTGTGTCATTGTAAAAAAAAAAAAAAAAAAAAAAGAGTCTTAACAGTGATGTTAAGGTGTCAAAGTTCTATCTGAACCTATTGTTCATATTTTATTGTCGGTTGGCTAACCGGTTTCCATAAGCATGCCTATGTACATTTGCGTAAATACTTTTGCAGACTACATGTAGAAAATGATATAAAAGTACCCCAAATATAGAAAATGAATTGGAATGGAAAATGAAAATCAAAGATCCGGGGGCTCACATTATTGGACAGCTCTCAATTCGGGTTCCACTCTGAAAAAAAAAAAAGTTTAGTAGCAGCAGCAGCCATAATCCATCATTGTCACTTTTTTTTTTTTGTGTGCCACTAGCGGTTTTTTTGTACTGGTCTCACCTTGCGTGGTGTGCTACTACTGAACACATAGGAATGGGGCAACAACCCCTCCGAGATGCCGCCGGTGCGGAAGGAGCGGGAAGCCGAAGACACGGAGCTGCAGCCGTTGGATTTGTCCGAGGGGAAGCCGCAGGAGCCGCACAGAACTGTACGACTACGCAGATTGTATTCGCTGTCCCCACAGGTGCTGTGAGCCACCTGCTGCGGAAACAACAGACTCTGTGGACTCTTTTCAAAAATGGACCAATACATGCCGTTTTTTTGTTTGGTTTTTTTTGTTTCCTGAAAAGTGCCCAACTCCAGTTATAAGGTTTTTGATTTATATTTGCTTTATTGACAATGAAGTGTTCTTGGTGTGCACATGAGTGATTTTTTTTTTTTTTTAATACGTCATGCAACTTCGGTCATGATTGCATCACAAAATTGCCATTTCAATTTTATTGTTGTACAGGCATCTCGATGACGTTACCATGTCATCATCATCCTCTTCCAAATGTGTGCGAGTCACTTTCCTCATCGCCATTTCCTGGAAGAAAAGGTCAGGTCAACAGATAAATGTTGATGTTTGTCAAAAGCTTTGTCTCTTGAAAGATGTCTCACCTCTCCATTAGAGCTGATCAAGGTGGTCTGGAACTGGTCTCCGGTGCCCCAGTTGGGCTGTGTCTTCCAGACCAGGTCAGAGGGAGGATTGTGGCTTCCCCCAGCAGCAGCCGCCCAGATCTGGTTATCACGTAAAAGGCCATATAAGCACATCATCCTGCAATTTATTTTTTTTAGATCTGTGCCGGAAATGGTCATCGCTTACCGTGACTCTCTGGCCGGCCTTCAAGATGAACTTTGAGGGAAACTTGAATGCAATCGGTGCAGAAGATCCGACCTGTCGCTTCACCTGCCAGTTCCCTAAATTCTGATCCTAAAGTTGAAATGTTGGAGCAAGTCCAGAAACACGATTAGGAAGCGATGGCATGAAATGAATATGAAGCCTTTTATGCATCCTGTAACCAGATAACATGAGAAGCGGACCTCATCTGCTTTATTGCTGAGTCGGACATATTTGCCATCCTGGTCCACCTCATCCACGGTGACGCGGCCACTGGCAGAGGCCTGCTGGGTAATGCGGGTACGTGCCACGGCACCTCCGGCGAAGCTTGAAGCCTCGCTGTCCGTGTCGTTGGGACGCCTCCTCTTGGTGGCCGAGTTCTGAGCACCGCAGCTGAAGGAACGGCAATGAGCCGACGCGGTCGAGGAGCGACTCGCTGCCATCCTTGTCGGGGGCGGGCTTGGAGAGAGACGCAGCCTGCGGACAAACGTGAAGGCATCGGCGACTATTACAGTAAAAGTTGGGAGTTGCGTTTGTAACCTGATCACGGACCTCTCCTCCTCGCCCTCGAGCAACTTGCGGTAGGCGCCGATCTCCATATCGAGAGCCAGCTTGACATCCATCAGCTCTTGATATTCGTCCAGCTGCTGTTGCATCCGCTGTCTGATCTCAGCCATTTCTCGGTCTTTCTCTCCCAGGAGGCGACGCATGGTGTCCCGCTCTCTCGACAGAGCCTCCTCCAGGTCCTTCACCTTTGCGTCACGGGCTGCAAGCTACATTCAACGCACGGTCGGGTGGACCCTCGTTAACTCATTCACTCCCAAAGACGTTTTTAAACGTCTTTTCAGACTTGGTCCAGAATTGGCTGGTACTGAATAAGTTAAAGATTTTGCAGCAAAGGCAGCTTACAGTCTGCTAATACTGTGATAGAGGAAGTATGTGTCATTAAGTTTGAAGCTCATTGGGAAAAAAAAACAAAACAAACAACAACATCAAGTGAACAATAAAGGAAGACAATTTCATGGAAGAAACATCAGCGTTTAGGTTGCAAATGTAGGTCAGCGCTTCTGATCGTGTCCCCGACGGCCACCGCGAAACTCAAACTCAACTCGGTGTTTTGCCGTGCACGATGATTGGCCGCCTCGCGTCCTGTGTTTACAATTCGCGCGTTGCAGTCGTTTGTTTAAAGTTCACCTGCTTCTGCAGCTGGCTCAACTGAGCCGACACGGACTCCAGACGGACCCGCGTCTGCTGGAGCTCCTCGTGCGCCGCGCCCACCAGATGGCTGCTCCGGTCGGCTGATTGACGTGCGCCTTCCAGCTAAACACACACACAAAAAAAAAAAAACCACATAGACGAGATGGGAGAAGTTGCACAACATTTTGCAATCGTTTCGAGCAAACACAATGTTTACCTTGGAGTTGTAGGTCTTCTCCAGCTCCTCCTTGTAGAGTTTAATTTGAAGTTCATGCTGGCTTCGCATCTCCATCAAAGCATCGGCCAGTTTGCTTTCAAAGTCTTGCTGGTGGCCGGTGTCCAACTCCACCATGCGGGACTCGTGGCGGCGCTTGACCTCGCGCAGCTCCTGCGTGGGAAAGCGGTACATGAAAAGGACGCTCTCGCGCGCAGCTTTTTTTTTTTTTTTTTCATGAAACAAGTGATGGTGATAATAACAGGGCCTGACCTCAGAATGGAGGTTCTTCTGGAACTCCAGTTCCTCCTTGAGGGTCTGAAGGCGATTCTCTCCATCCACCCTCCTAAGCATCTCATCCTGCAGCTGCTTTCTGGCATCCGCCAGGCTGGTGTCAAGCTAATTAGAACACGAGCACAACACAATCGGTTGGCGGTCAATGTGATGCCATTCACCGGCGTACGAGGGCGGGAAACTGAGCAGGGGGGTTCGATTTACCTTGGCAACCTGTGTCTTCAGGTCCCTGTTTTCTGTCTCGAGGCTGCGCTTTTCTCCTAACGCGGTGGTCAAAGACGCATCCTTGGAGTTCAGCAAGGCCTCCAAGTCTTTGAGCCGCTGCAGCGCTCCTGACAGATCCGATTCTTTTTTCGTGTTCCTGAAACGACAGATCAGACACACAAACTCACCGCGAGGCAGTATGGAAAAATGGATGCGAGAATAACAGGAAACTTGAGACTGAAGTCGTAATTTCCTCGACGCAGTCAAATGTGCTATTTTGAGTAAGGATTTTCTCTGAAGGGGGGGGGGCGGGGGGGAAACGGGGAGATACTTTCGTGTTTCCACTCTAGCACACAACTTTTTGAGCTACACTGTTTCCAGTCTTCTCCATCTCGCCACAAACCACAGCTTTTGGTGTTTGGTTGCCACGCTGCCATGGCAACAGCCCGTCTCTGCCAAACACACTGGAGTCATCAGGCCAATATTTATGGAAGAGTACGAGTAAAGGAGCCCTCGAACCGCTGCCACGTATCGCGAGTGTGTCAGAGGAGGAGGGGGAGGAGGGAAGAACTTAGTCATTGATGTGTGTGACTATGGGATGTCAAAATGGAGGCCCGATGTCGAGCTGCAATTAGTCATGAAGACGCTATGTCGTGGGGTGTGGCTCCAGCAATAAAGCAAGTCTGATGTCAGCAAATTTTACATAAGCTTCAGTTATTAATAGTCCGCGGCTATCCATAATAATGTTGTTGCCATCCCAGTCACAATTATGCATCGACAGACCGAAACGAGAGGGAGCTCGATACGACGGGGCGCTCTACCTTGCTTTCAGCTCCTTGTATTCCTCTCGCAGCTTGCCCACCTCCAGCTGTAGGCGTGCACGCTCCTTGGCCACCGAGTCCAAAGTCTTACGGGCATCCGCCAGCTCCGTCTCGTAGGCGGCCTTCAGACCCGTCAGCTCGCGCGAGACCTCCGTCTCGGATTCGGTGATGCGCAGACGCAGGCCGGCGTTCTCGATCTCCAGGGAACGGACCTTGTCGATGTAAACGGCCAGACGATCGTTGAGGTTGCTGAGATCTTCTTTCTCCTGAAGACGCGTGATGCGGTTGGGGGAGAGCGGGGAGTTTGCGCCCCGAGGAGTGTTTTTTGGTGTGGCCATCTCTTGAGCTTGCTTCTGCTGTAAAGACCCAGTACATGCATAAAGGTTCGGGAAGTACACCAAATGCCACATGCACCCATCAAAGAAACTTCATATAAGTGGTTCAAAGTCATACACAGGCTGCTTTGTAAATACACACACACACACACACACACACACACACACACACACACACACAAAAAGAGAAAAAAAAACCCAAAAAGAGAAAAAAAAATCCATACCCTTTGGAATCGTAGAATATTTACTCTGGAGAGATCGCAGGGTCCCTTTGAGATCACCAGCACCGTTCGCACAGTCACTATGTGTATAACTGTATGAATATATCCGAGTGCCCAAAGGAAAGAATGAGATGGGAGGGGTGAAGAGGAGACCGGCCCTAAAAAGTTTGGCAGCCACTCGGGGGTGGTTTGTTCCTCTCCATCTCTGTCTTTCTGGTCTGCGGTCTGAACAAATGAGTCACCCTCTGCAGCTATTTCTTGTGATTGAAGTCAATTCATTTTTTTTTTTTTTGTAATTGTATGTTAACAAATCCCCTCAACTTCTGTGGATTCTTCCATTTCAGGAACGATGCATTTAAATTCGAATATCTGGCACCAGACGGCCGAGGTTTTTCGGGTTCGAGGCGCAAATCAGTCGACGTTCTTTTCAGTTTTCAAACATTCACTGACATCAATGACGTGTTTTCTTCATTCATTTCCAAACCAATCTTCCAAAAATGCATTCGCATTGCCGTGGAGTGGGGAACGAAAGCCCAGCTGCCTGCGAGGAAGTCAGGCAATTGGACCACTGCACTTTCAATGACTCTATTAAGCTCCATTCATAATTTAAGAGTGGATCTTAGGAGGGCTTGGCCACCAAGTGTGAAATTAAACAGCCAAGTAAATCTTTTGTTTTCCCCCACTGATCTCTCAATGTGTCTGTGAGGGAGCCATTCCGAATTACATAACACAGTTTCTCCGCCCAGGACTAGACAGCAGCTTTGGGTGAAGACCTTCCACTTTGAAGCTATGGCTGGACTAAACGGTCTGAAACATCCCAACAAAGGTAAACCACATGTAGAATATGGGACTATGGTTCACCCACCGTGCAAATGTGCATTCTCTTTATTTTAAATGGTTGCATTGATGAACAAATCTTGAATAATATTGCCGGAACAATCAAGATTTGACTTGGGTCAAACATGCTTGGAAAAAATTCTGGGAGTGGTCTTTAAATCCCTGAATGGTTTGGGCCCCGAACACATTAAATAAAAGCTAATTGAATATAAACCCAGTAGGGTTCTAGGATCTGGGGACTCGGGTCAGTTAGTGGGTTGCAAAGCGAATATGGTGAAGCAGCGTCGCACTGTTTTGGTGCATGCAAGTGGGATAAATTGCCAAAGAAGACCTTTGATGATGGTCTTTTAAGCATTAAAATTTATTTCACTGCTTTTTAGAATGCTAATTTGTTTTCCCTCTCTTTACTTTGCTTTTTAACGTATCATCTTTTGATCCTTTTTAGCAAGTTAATTTTGTTCTCTCTGCTTTGCCTTTGAAGGTCTTTAATCGTTTCAAAATGCTTTGGGTTCAAATGTGACGTCATCCAAGTGCCTTGGCTATGTCATGTGGTCTAAGGAAAAACCCGTATTGGATCACGGTGATCACATGGACAAACTCTTGAAATACTGGTACCCTGATGTAAAAAAAACGTGATCTCGCACTTGTAGAGGTTCTATCAAAAAGTTGATATTGATCAAATGCGGCAGGCATTGTGTTATACAATCGTAAAGCTAAAACCAATCAACATGCGTTACCCTGGAGACAAAAGAAAATATGCAACTGGAAGTTTAGGAATCACATCTTGGACAGGAAAGCGTTTATCAGCTCTCATGCGCGCGCACACACACACACACACACACGCACAACAAAAACAATATTAAAGCTAAATGTTCAAAAGAGAGTCCACTCCTTATTTTATCTTGCACATAAGGCAACTTTGCGGCACTAATCAGCGGCTCAGCGTCGGGGAAAAAAAAAAAACAGGAATCGTATTAAAAACACACTCGGGCATACATCGGGTTTAAAAAATTGATAACGGTCGAAAAGTGGCCCATCTAAAAGCCCCACCGCGGTGAACACGTCGGCGCCGTGTCGACTTCCAAACAAGCGCCCCATTCGGAGGTTCGTGCGCACGCACACACACTGACAAGCAGCAGCGGAGACGAAGGGGAAGCCTCCATTTTAGCTCCCGTGGCCGCTCGGCGCCTCACGTGTCCTGGCCTGTCTGCCTCACATGACCCTTGTGTTTGTCCCCGTGATCACAAGCCTCCATCTCGGCGGATCCGTGCTGTTGCCGTCGCTCGTTCCCACCCCGATCGAGCCTTCATGGATATGCTGGAGCAGAGTGTGGACAGCTCGGCGAGGTGAGGCTCGGCCCGTCGACAGTTTCTGTCGCTCGGCTCGCGAGGCTCCATCGGAGCAAGGCCGCCATAGTTTAGACTCTCTTTGCCAACGCTCTGCTTTATATCTTTAAGCTGTTTTGACACGCTTACTTTTCATCGCTTTGCATCGGAATTGTTTGGCGTCTATTTGTTGCTTCGGCAATGTTGCATTTATAGATCTGAACGAGCATCTTATTTCTTTTTTTTTGTTTCGTATTTAGCTAATGTGTAACGTTACGGTTACGCTACTGCAAGACTACATAACCAAAGCAACAACTTAAGCATAGTTTTTATGTTTCTATTTTTTGGCAGCACGGTGTTAAAACTTTACCGGGTGCACGTCTTGTGGGATTATAAGTACTTTATTAGGCCAGAATTAGCATAGTTTGGGAGTTATTAAGGTCATTTTAAGAAGACGTACCTGCTCGAACTGCAGCCAAAGACCACAACGTTTGGGTTTCATTACCCATAAATGGTAATACTTTTCTACATTTTAAGTTGCAGCTGTTTGATTTTACTTTATTTTACTGCGTTACTGCAGAACAGTACTGTACTTTATTTTTGCCTTGACATGGAGTTTGGTCATGTAACCACGCGGTGGCGCCGCTCACCCACAGCGAGCCTTGGTCAACTTTTTTTTTGTAGCTTGTGATGCTAGTTTCCAGCTGTCTGTGATTCTTTGGATAAAATCGTATTTAATTTCTCTTTCTTTCTCTCCTGTTTTTCCAGTCACGACAAACAGGAGTCCGACGACATTGAGCACTTACAGGAAGGTATGAGCTTTATTTCCAGCTACTCGTGAGAATATTTTCTGACAATACAGTAGTTGTTATGATTATTTGATCCTAAACCGCTTGAAGACATTTTATTAGGTGTATCTCATAAGCTCACTTATCAAAAATTTGAATTTGCATATGAACTAAATGACATGTGTTACTTTAACCGTCTCATATGTGCCCAATGTTGACTGGCATTTGCAGGAGAAGTAGAGGATCAGTCAGCTGGGACTATTTCTGCTGTCCCACAGGCTGCGTTTCCTGACCACAATGTTCAGTACCAGTTCCGCACAGACAACAGTGATGGACAGGTAAAGACAATCGCGGTTGATAGTTCAGTTGGGTTACGTTTTCTTTCTATTATGGGTTTAACATGGTCTATTTGTTTCTGCTCCCCCCCTCTCTCTCTAGGTAACCTATCGTGTAGTTCAGGTGACAGACGACAACATTGACACATCCTCTGACGCCACTGGGGCCGTTAGCGTCGTCTCGACCGCAGCGTTTGCAGGAGCGCCTCAGGTGTGTGAATGACAACACAAACAAATGTTACTGTGGATTCACTGAATTTTTGTATGTTTTACAATGATACTAACAACTGAGGTCCCTTACAAGAGAGTCCTATCATTCCCACTAAGTTATGATTATTGGTACGTGCCACTAATGTGAAAAAAAAAACACAAAACATGAGCCACAGGTGACGTACCGTTGTTTGAACGAGACTCACAGTCAAAACAAGCAAATACTAAACAAGAATGACTGAAAATTTGTTACGAATATTGCTTCAAATTGGGATTCATCACTCATTCTTTCCCATCCAGGCCGTAATCCAGAACCCCTTCAGTAACGGAGGAAGTCCCGTCGGGGAGGCGGTGGGAGGAGAGACGCGTTTCGCCTACTTCCCCGCTGCCGCTGTCAGTGACGGGACAGCCACGGCCGTGTCGGTGCAAACCACCTCGGAACCCACAATCACACAGGGGGCAGGTGAGTTTGCATTGTTACACTTAACATGGCCTTCCCACTTTGACTCGAGGAAAATGGACATGGGCGAAGGCAGACAATCATTTGCCGAGTGCTGTCATTTCGAAAATCAACACAAATGAATTAACAACTGGATTGTCACGCTTTCAAAAATCATCCCTGACTGCAATATAGACAATAGGACTGGTGCTGTAAGTTTTGTGCAAAAACTCTTACCACTGATTTTTTTTTTTTTAAATGCAACATCAGTCAGACCCTAGCGTTAGTTTTCAACAGCGCACTGCACATGGTTTACCATTTTAGTTTCTAGCTGATTGATCAGATGTTTTTATGATTATGACTAATCTATCCCCCCAGAGTAAAGGAGGCATCCTATCCAAAGCTTGCGATTATATCCGAGAACTGCGTCAGAATAACCAGCGGTTGCAGGAGAGCTACAAAGAAGTGGAGCGAATTGAGCTGGACAATGAAATGCTTCGACAACAGGTATTGTTATTTCCTTGCACGCCGGCAAAGTCACGCATTTCATTGATGTGAAAAACACGCTGAAAAACGGTAACAGGAGAGCAATATCCATCCTTCTGATCAAACATCTGAAAACCGCACTGTGTCCTACTTACCTGCCATCCCCAGAGACGTTGGTGAAAGCGAGATGTTGCAGCATGGCAGCACAAACTGGTGAGGAGAACTTTCACATTCGAACCAATGCTGCAACCCCCACCCCACCCTCCAACCCACTGTCACTCCCGTCGTTTACACATCAACACAAAATGTGCTGTGAGGTGTGATGTGTTTCTTTGTCCCTGAAGCGCATAGTGTCGACTTCATTTTCGGTTAACACCCTGCAGTTTTATTTCAAATCCTGCTTTGTCAGTCATCCTTTTTAAATGGGTCTTTCCCCCCCAATTTTTTTCCCCTTGGCATGAATGCAAATAGCATATTTTCAAAATCGGCTGATAGATTGAACTATCTCCTTGAAATGTGGCCTGTGATATTGAGGGCGACTAAAATGTAAAAATCTTGATGGACCGAAGGGGGCGAGGGGAAAAAAAAAGAAGAAACTTTCAACTACAACAAGCATCACTGATGATAGAAAAAGTGTCTTGTTAACTTGGATACAAATTACTCATCTGATGAGCAGTAGTTCATTTTTCTTGGGATAAAATTAGAGCCACAACAAAACTGTGTGTGTCACTTCCAGGAAGGTGGATGGTCCACGAGCGCCGAGGGATGAAAGAAGAAGAGCACAACACAATGAGGGTATATAGCGCTATTTCATTAAGACGATAATTCTGATGTTCGAGCATTTCGGGAAATAATTGCTTTGAACACCATTTTATCTTTCAGTGGAGAGAAGAAGAAGAGACAAGATTAACAACTGGATTGTCACGCTTTCAAAAATCATCCCTGACTGCAATATAGACAATAGGACTGGTGCTGTAAGTTTTGTGCAAAAACTCTTACCACTGATTTTTTTTTTTTTAAATGCAACATCAGTCAGACCCTAGCGTTAGTTTTCAACAGCGCACTGCACATGGTTTACCATTTTAGTTTCTAGCTGATTGATCAGATGTTTTTATGATTATGACTAATCTATCCCCCCAGAGTAAAGGAGGCATCCTATCCAAAGCTTGCGATTATATCCGAGAACTGCGTCAGAATAACCAGCGGTTGCAGGAGAGCTACAAAGAAGTGGAGCGAATTGAGCTGGACAATGAAATGCTTCGACAACAGGTATTGTTATTTCCTTGCACGCCGGCAAAGTCACGCATTTCATTGATGCAAGTGTCATGATGCTGTGTAGTTTTTGTGCTGCTGCTACTACTTACAAACAATTAAACAAACGGCCAACAGAATACACACATGTAAGCAAGATTGCTGGTACCCCTTTGTCTGGTTTTAGAAGCTTGACCGTTCACATGCTTGTCTGTAATTTTCTTTCTAATCTCCTGAGGTAACGCGCTACTTGGTTTCCTCCGGTTCATGTTTAGTGTGGTACACGCCGTATCACTGAACAGCAGAGTGACTTTTTCACTTTTTAAATAGGCTGACTGGCATATTACAATTTTGAAACACCCGTTATGTTAATTATAGGACACACCTTAAGTGAACATGTCCCTCATTTCTGTGATGACTGTGGGATTAAAGAGGAGTATCAATAATCTTGTCCATGTGTGTACCTCTCGCATTCGCGCCTGGCTGAAGTAAAAATCGGATCTGGTGTTGGCATGATATTCAGAATTGTCCTCTCTTTGCTTCTTTATTTCTCTCTTCATAAAAAAAAAACACAAAACATGAGCCACAGGTGACGTACCGTTGTTTGAACGAGACTCACAGTCAAAACAAGCAAATACTAAACAAGAATGACTGAAAATTTGTTACGAATATTGCTTCAAATTGGGATTCATCACTCATTCTTTCCCATCCAGGCCGTAATCCAGAACCCCTTCAGTAACGGAGGAAGTCCCGTCGGGGAGGCGGTGGGAGGAGAGACGCGTTTCGCCTACTTCCCCGCTGCCGCTGTCAGTGACGGGACAGCCACGGCCGTGTCGGTGCAAACCACCTCGGAACCCACAATCACACAGGGGGCAGGTGAGTTTGCATTGTTACACTTAACATGGCCTTCCCACTTTGACTCGAGGAAAATGGACATGGGCGAAGGCAGACAATCATTTGCCGAGTGCTGTCATTTCGAAAATCAACACAAATGAACCTTTTTTTTTTTTTTTGTATCTAGGTCAGTTCTACGTAATGATGACCCCTCCTGATGTGCTGCAGTCGGCAACACAACGGACCATCGCACCGCGCACGCACACTTACCCAGCGTGAGTACACAATGCCTCCTTACACTTTTTTTTTTTTTTTTTAATCGCCCAACTCCCACATCTACGCACGGCCGCTTTAAGTCCTACATTTAAAAATTATTTCCATCAAACTCCCCCGAAGTTTTTTTTTTTGGGGGGGTTCTTTTTCTTTCTCTTTTTTTTTTTTTTAAAGAGGGGGCTCTTATGAAAAAGAAAATTCCCAAAATGGTTTGTTGAAAATCACGCTGAAAAACGGTAACAGGAGAGCAATATCCATCCTTCTGATCAAACATCTGAAAACCGCACTGTGTCCTACTTACCTGCCATCCCCAGAGACGTTGGTGAAAGCGAGATGTTGCAGCATGGCAGCACAAACTGGTGAGGAGAACTTTCACATTCGAACCAATGCTGCAACCCCCACCCCACCCTCCAACCCACTGTCACTCCCGTCGTTTACACATCAACACAAAATGTGCTGTGAGGTGTGATGTGTTTCTTTGTCCCTGAAGCGCATAGTGTCGACTTCATTTTCGGTTAACACCCTGCAGTTTTATTTCAAATCCTGCTTTGTCAGTCATCCTTTTTAAATGGGTCTTTCCCCCCCAATTTTTTTCCCCTTGGCATGAATGCAAATAGCATATTTTCAAAATCGGCTGATAGATTGAACTATCTCCTTGAAATGTGGCCTGTGATATTGAGGGCGACTAAAATGTAAAAATCTTGATGGACCGAAGGGGGCGAGGGGAAAAAAAAAGAAGAAACTTTCAACTACAACAAGCATCACTGATGATAGAAAAAGTGTCTTGTTAACTTGGATACAAATTACTCATCTGATGAGCAGTAGTTCATTTTTCTTGGGATAAAATTAGAGCCACAACAAAACTGTGTGTGTCACTTCCAGGAAGGTGGATGGTCCACGAGCGCCGAGGGATGAAAGAAGAAGAGCACAACACAATGAGGGTATATAGCGCTATTTCATTAAGACGATAATTCTGATGTTCGAGCATTTCGGGAAATAATTGCTTTGAACACCATTTTATCTTTCAGTGGAGAGAAGAAGAAGAGACAAGATTAACAACTGGATTGTCACACTTTCAAAAATCATCCCTGACTGCAATATAGACAATAGGACTGGTGCTGTAAGTTTTGTGCAAAAACTCTAACTAACCCTAGCGTTAGTTTTCAACAGCGCACTGCACATGGTTTACCATTTTAGTTTCTAGCTGATTGATCAGATGTTTTTATGATTATGACTAATCTATCCCCCCAGAGTAAAGGAGGCATCCTATCCAAAGCTTGCGATTATATCCGAGAACTGCGTCAGAATAACCAGCGGTTGCAGGAGAGCTACAAAGAAGTGGAGCGAATTGAGCTGGACAATGAAATGCTTCGACAACAGGTATTGTTATTTCCTTGCACGCCGGCAAAGTCACGCATTTCATTGATGCAAGTGTCATGATGCTGTGTAGTTTTTGTGCTGCTGCTACTACTTACAATTAAACAAACGGGCAACAAAATATACACACGTAAGCAAAATTGCTGGTACCCCTTTGTCTGGTTTTAGAAGCTTGACAGTTCACATGCTTGTCTGTGATTTTCTTTCTAATCTCCTGAAGCAACGCGCTACTTGGCTGTCATGATGCTGTGTAGTTTTTGTGCTGCTGCTACTACTTACAAACAATTAAACAAACGGCCAACAGAATACACACATGTAAGCAAGATTGCTGGTACCCCTTTGTCTGGTTTTAGAAGCTTGACCGTTCACATGCTTGTCTGTAATTTTCTTTCTAATCTCCTGAGGTAACGCGCTACTTGGTTTCCTCCGGTTCATGTTTAGTGTGGTACACGCCGTATCACTGAACAGCAGAGTGACTTTTTCACTTTTTAAATAGGCTGACTGGCATATTACAATTTTGAAACACCCGTTATGTTAATTATAGGACACACCTTAAGTGAACATGTCCCTCATTTCTGTGATGACTGTGGGATTAAAGAGGAGTATCAATAATCTTGTCCATGTGTGTACCTCTCGCATTCGCGCCTGGCTGAAGTAAAAATCGGATCTGGTGTTGGCATGATATTCAGAATTGTCCTCTCTTTGCTTCTTTATTTCTCTCTTCATGTTTCCAGCTCGAGGAACTCAAGAGCGACAACGCGTTGCTTCGAGCACAGCTACAACAGCACGGCATAGAACTCAATGGAGAGTCAACACCCCAGTGATGAGGGGACTGGACATCTACAGAGTCGCAAACAAACGCGGTTGTGTATTCCCACTCAACCTGAACAATACCAGGAAAGGAATAACCACGGGTGACTACTTCCATCTGGATCCCATTGAACATAAAGTGGGCCAGTGGCCGATTGAAGGACCACTGATAGACATCTCCCTCCATATGCTGCTGGTCAATGGCTGACATTTACTGAGTAGCCCAATGAACCCCTCACCTCTGCTTCAAGGAGAACGACCTCGGCGCACCACCACACTTGCACAAAGCTTTATTTGACTGTAATTTATAATCCTGCCAGTCTTCTCAACTTCTCAGCCTTCTTGGTGTTAATTCTGTTTCTGAAGCTATCAAATGAAATAGGAAGTACCACTTACTTTTTTTTGTCCTTTTAATTTATAAACCTTGTCCAAAGTCATCAGCACATTTAATTATTCTTTTCAGCCAGTTAATCAGTCATACAATTGTGATGGTGTTGGTTTTATTTTAGCGCAAGACCTAAACAAGGAGTAAACCTAGCTCAGGTAATTGGGGTAGTGCACTGGCATCTGGTTCCCAGATTTTACATATAGATTTTATTTTTGGATTTTTTTTTTTTTTTGGTCTGCAAGTGCAATGGACAGATAGTTAAGACACTTGCATTGTGTGAATCGGTTTTATTGGGCATCACATGTCGTAGGTTAGTGTAGTTTTCTTTCTGTGTCATTGAGGTTAATGAATGTGGGGGTTTGTTTGGAGACCCGCCTGTTTGGCCTCACGGGCATTTTTGTCTGTGTTGCTCCCCCACTAATCAAATACGCAGCAATGCTTGGGACCTTTGTGGCAAATCGAAGGCAATAAACTATGAGCATGAATGAACTGATAATATCTGAGGTGTGACGTGAGTGATCATGGTCATTTTTTCCCCTCAATAGCATGGAACAGTAACTACGAGCATGGCAAGATGTGATGCTACAATAAAAAGAGCAGATTGCATTTAAGAATGTCGTGTATCGCAAACCAACCCGAACAATCAAAAGTTTTAATGCTACAATTTAATATGTTGTATTTGTTTGAATTTTTTTTTGTTTGACATGACATCAAATGCCCCAAACCGAATTCTGTGACGTCCTGTTTTCAGAGGGCACGCGTCACTTTTGTTTCCGTCTGGTATTGTGTTGCCTAGTGATCAACCTAGCCGTCGCTATGGAAACTTGCAGCAACAACCAGCACGCGCTAACTCGCTGGCCATGATGGAACGAAGGTGAGTAATTTTAAAAACGAAAGAAGAAAATTCAACCCGTTTAAATGACAAGAGACGTTCGGGAAAAACGTCAGATAAACGCTCCAATTTAACAAATAGTGTGTTGCGTGTTTTTTGCAAACGGACAATGTTAAGCATGAGCAAAATCTACGGCTGCACAGTCAACGCAAGTTGTGTTACGAACTCGACTAAAGAAAATATTACTCTTTATTTGGAACTTTATGTAGGGCCTTTGAATAATGCGATGTTAGTTTGCGATTAAGATCCGCAGATTCGTCGTGCGGCGAACGGTGAAGATAAAAGATTTACGACACCGATTCTGCGAGTTAATTTAGATTCCATTGTTACAGCAAATTGCTGCTCTAGGGAGACTTGGCGTCATCAACCTGTAGCATGCAGGTGAAATCACGTTACTTTTTTTTTGTTTGTTTGTTTTTGCACACTGTGACGTACGATGAAGTCACCTTTGTGGAAAGTGCAGCAGCTCGGGAAAGGCTGAAATTTAACTGCGCTAGAAAGTCAATAAAGTGTTCCGTTGGAAGATTTGGGCACGTAAAGGTATTCTAACTAAATGTCACAGAACTGCACGAAAATAATGATCTAGTCTCATTTTACTCACCGATTTGCTTCGTGTGAAATCTTTGCTGGTTTAGTTGAACACAAACCTATTCCGTGACATGAACGGCAACAGGTGGATGCACCTGCAAACCGTCCTAATATGATTTTACTACGAAGGATTGCGAGTGAAAAAAAAAAAACAAAGCCTTCATGTAATAACAGCCGGATGGTGAAAATATATTAAATATTCAGCACCAGTTCCTTTAGTCATGGTATGTGAAGTCAGGCGTAATGTTACCTAAGCATCTCTGGTGAGTGAACGTCACCACGAACTAAAAGATTTTTAAAACATCTTCTTTTTACATCTTGGCAACACGATGTCCAAATGGTTAGCGCTTCTCCCGAATGTCTGAGGTTCGAATTTCAACTCCAATTTTCCTGTGTGTGTGTGTGTGTGTGTGTGTGTGTGTGTGTGTGTGTGTGTGTGTGTGTGTGTGTGTGTGTGTGTGTGTGTGTGTGTGTTTATTGCCTGGGACCTCCCCTGCTGGCATATCCCAGATGACTAACTCTTTGCATATCATTGACTCAGTACAATGACCAAACATCCGGAGAAGCCCATCGTACACTACGGTGTTCCAGAGTGGTGCAACAACAACGAGCAGCTGTCTGCCACCGCAGAGCTCGAGCGATATCTTTCCAATGTAATCCGCCAAGAGAGCAGGACACTCCGCAATGACACCAACTGTAAGGTGGGTCCTCGTTGCCGTCAAATAAACACGCTGTGCACCGAGTGTGTTGGTTTTCACTTCTTGTCCTATACTGTTACCCCACAGACAAACTGGGATGAAAGCGATACCTCCCGTATGTTGAGGGATCGGGTGTGGGAGGTTTCAAGATGTAAGGATCTGCTCGTATCCTGCGCAAAGAAAGTTGATGATGAGATTGAAGCACTGACATTGGTAATTGCCAGAAGATGAACCAATGTGATTTGTGACATCATGGCAGCATCAACTTCTATAGAGGCCCCAGTGAGGTTTGAACTCACGACTCCTGGTTTACAAGACCAGTGCTCTAACCACTGAGCTATGGAGCCCACTGTTAAAAGTGACAGTAGACACACTGGAAATGTTGTATTTAACAGTCAAATTTGCGGGTTAATTTCACATTTTATGGGTAGGCTGCCACTCCTCAGGCCCAACTACAGTAGGTGTATTCACGCCATTGAAAAGTCACTTTTCCATATTCCCTCTTTGAATGCAACACGGCGATGACCTCAGCTTGATTGTGTGTTGTGAAAGTCGAAAACCCGGACCGAGGAGACCTTGGCTGCCACGGCAGTTCCCCACGAGGTCAGCATGGAGAGCCTGACCCTGAGGGAGGGACGGCAAGGATTTGAGCTGATCAACGACCCCGTGGAAAAGGAGTTAAAAAAAGAGGTGCATGTCATCGAAAGAGCGCAGCAAACCCTGCAGCAACTCATCGACCAGGCGTTTGAACAGCTCTGGTACGATGAGCGTCCCCGACTTTGGGAAGTTTTGGGCAACGTACGCGCCACTGATGCAACATCGTGATTTTCCCTTTCCAGTATCTTGCAGAAAATTCGACAGCAGCTGACCGCTGACCTCCAGAACAAGGTGGAAACTCTGGATATTGATAATACATGTCTGGAGCTTACAATAACGTCATCCCAGATTTCCCTGAAACCGGATCCTACTCGAATACCTGCAGGGTAATCATCTTTGTAAACATTGATCTATCTTTTTTTTTTTTTTGCACTCGTAAAAAAATAGTCCCCTATCATTAACTGTAGTTCGTGTACGCCGCACGAGTGGATCCAGTTCACCCAGTTGAATTTGGCTCGGGCCCGTGAAGCAATGGAGATGTCCGAGCAGATGAGGGAGGACATGAGTCTCACCCGAGTCAGCGTACGTGTGATGAAACCACAGCCGTCTGCTCACCGCGTGCAACATTAGCGCCGAGGGATGAAAGAAGAAGAGCACAACACAATGAGGGTATATAGCGCTATTTCATTAAGACGATAATTCTGATGTTCGAGCATTTCGGGAAATAATTGCTTTGAACACCATTTTATCTTTCAGTGGAGAGAAGAAGAAGAGACAAGATTAACAACTGGATTGTCACGCTTTCAAAAATCATCCCTGACTGCAATATAGACAATAGGACTGGTGCTGTAAGTTTTGTGCAAAAACTCTAACTAACCCTAGCGTTAGTTTTCAACAGCGCACTGCACATGGTTTACCATTTTATTCAAGTTGGACGCGGATTTGAAGGCAAAGACGGCCCCGCTGAAGCTGGCCCACACCAGGCTGGAGAACAGAACCTGCCGGCCTGGCATGGACCTCTGCAGAGATGAGGTGGACGTCGAGCGCATCTCAATAAACAAAAGTTTGTTTGTCTGACGCACGTCTTTTCCTTCCTGTTTTCCAGGCGCAGCGTTGCCTTGTTGACGAAGTCAATCAGCTGCAGGCCACAATTGCCATTCTGAAGGAGAAGCTGTCTGAAGCTCAGTGAGTTCTATTTGGATTTGGATGACACGGCGCTCATGCTGCCTTGCGCTTAGCAATCGCGATCCTAACGCGGCAACACAAAGAGGCCGAAACGTGATTTTATGGACGACATTTTCGGATTCACTTTGATCATGAATTTCGGGTCCGTGCTTCTGTTTGTGCTCAGGCACTCGTTGCAGAGACTGAAGCTTCATCACAACCAAATGAAGCAAGATCATGCCAGGAAACGTGGCGCTTTGGCCCTGGAGGAACGTTGCATCAACATCCGCAACCGCCTCATCCCCATATTATACAGCGATGGCACCCCTGTGCCGCTGCTCCTACTTACGAGCTCGAGTGGGAGGAGCACCAGGCATCTTGAAGCCTGACCAGGCTTTCTTCATTTTCACATCAAGTCTATTCTGAATAGAAATATCTATTTTTTACAGTTATTATGGAACTGACACCATGTAAAACTTTAATGACATCACTTCTGTAGAGCGGCCCACATCTTATCTAGGCCTGCTATCAAGACTGCCCCCCCCTCCCCCATTTGAGTGTGTCCATACAAAGCTCACGTTTGTGTTAAGGTCATTCATTTCATATGCTGCTCCATTTTATGGCTTTGTTTGGGCCGTGTCATAATGTTTGACCATCTGACGCTGTTTACGGCGTGGAGAGAATAATGTGAATCCTGACTCCCACGTATATACGCAGAAGGATAAGCATGGATCGTTGGCAGAGCTTTCCATTTGGCTCACCCACACATCACTACTAATCAATAAAGAACCTATGAATACAGACTTGTGATGCAGACATTCCAACATATCTATCACACCACAACAAATTTGACCAAATAAATCAATTCGGAAAAAAAAAAAAAAAGACGAGGAGAAACATGTTTTGTTGTGACTCCCAGTTTATGCCTTTCGCCTTTTGTGTCAGTGCTGCAGCCTCAAAAGTGAGAGGATCAAAAATAGTGGGGGACCCGAACCACTTACCTGTTGAATGCCAACATGAAATCCTTTCATTCCATTGCAACGTATCATCGAGGTGGATGGGAAGTCTGTTTTGGGGTTTCCCACTGTGGAGAAGAAAAAAAATTGCTAGTAAGACGCCAAGAAGGATAACAAGGTCATTTGTGAAAATAAGCATTTGAATAATATTTGTATCTGTATTAGGAATAGTCCATTGCATGAGTAGCAAGGAAGGAGCTTGTTTCGTTAATTATTTCAATTTCTTTTGAGAAGTTGAATTCAGACGAAAACAACTTTAATGGCTTTGTCGAAAACTATACTCATCTGTTTTTATGAGATGTTTAGAGGGGGGCCTTTTGGAAAGTACAAGAAATAATGAACACCCAGAAGGATTTTCTTGGAAAAAAAAAAACACTTGTTATCTGCCAGTGTGGTCCGATAAAATGCATCCACAACAAATCAGCACATTTTCTGCTCCATTTATTTCAGTGCAAGCTTTTTGCTTGGCACGCCCACACCTCTGTCACACAAACACACCCATTTACTCTTGACCGTAAAAGCATGAGATGCTCCTTCAGGTTACAAACAACTTTGTATCTCAATGCCTGGCCTGGCTTCAGTATAAGTCATACAAGTACACACATAAAGGAAGTGTAAATTAAAAACAAACATTTTCTACATTTTGACACAGGTTGTTAACAACCATGCCAAATTTGAAAAAAAAAAATAGTCAAGGTTTGAAAAATAAAGCCTTTGTCTCCACTCTCAAATGTGTTGGGCGTGTCTACTGAATGCGTGTGTACCCCATTAGGTCATCGTGGGGCTTTTCATGCCACTTTCAGGCGCTAGCTGCCAGCTAGCTTGCGACCTAACAGGGCGGTGGCTTGGTAATAACAACTAGTTTGCAATTGCGGCGCACCAGTCAAGCGAACCAAGACAATCAAGTTTTTATATAGAGTGAAAGTGAGACTTTTCCACGGTCTTTGTGAATTTCGGCTTGTACAAACAACGTATTTGTACTTCACTACTTGCCACCGCTGCTCGTTTATGACTACGCCGCGTGGCCCTCCAGATCATTAAAACCGCCGCCGCCTTCTAGAGATGACCGTACGCAACCCTCAAATTATTCTGAATCATTTCACTTCAAGGTCCAGATGTTTTTCCCTCCACTGAGAGAGGGCAATTATCGCAGCCTGATGCCTGCTAAATGTCCCATACTTCTGCATGAGTGCGCTCATTTTCTGATCGGTATCTCACGCCCATGATGTGGCGTACGACAACATGCCTCACCGCCTTCAGCACCGGTACCTCAGCGAGGACGGTCGCTCGGTGAACGACAGCCTCCCTTTCCCAAATGGGGGCTCGTTTTTTTGGGGGGGGTTTTTAGACGACGAATGCAACTCCCATATAGCTAACAGATGGCATGTTTTTGCGGGATTTCCTGCTTCGTCTCAGCGGTGTCGTCTGTGTGTGTGTGTGTGTGTGTGTGTGTGTGTGTGTGTTTATTGCCTGGGACCTCCCCTGCTGGCATATCCCAGATGACTAACTCTTTGCATATCATTGACTCAGTACAATGACCAAACATCCGGAGAAGCCCATCGTACACTACGGTGTTCCAGAGTGGTGCAACAACAACGAGCAGCTGTCTGCCACCGCAGAGCTCGAGCGATATCTTTCCAATGTAATCCGCCAAGAGAGCAGGACACTCCGCAATGACACCAACTGTAAGGTGGGTCCTCGTTGCCGTCAAATAAACACGCTGTGCACCGAGTGTGTTGGTTTTCACTTCTTGTCCTATACTGTTACCCCACAGACAAACTGGGATGAAAGCGATACCTCCCGTATGTTGAGGGATCGGGTGTGGGAGGTTTCAAGATGTAAGGATCTGCTCGTATCCTGCGCAAAGAAAGTTGATGATGAGATTGAAGCACTGACATTGGTAATTGCCAGAAGATGAACCAATGTGATTTGTGACATCATGGCAGCATCAACTTCTATAGAGGCCCCAGTGAGGTTTGAACTCACGACTCCTGGTTTACAAGACCAGTGCTCTAACCACTGAGCTATGGAGCCCACTGTTAAAAGTGACAGTAGACACACTGGAAATGTTGTATTTAACAGTCAAATTTGCGGGTTAATTTCACATTTTATGGGTAGGCTGCCACTCCTCAGGCCCAACTACAGTAGGTGTATTCACGCCATTGAAAAGTCACTTTTCCATATTCCCTCTTTGAATGCAACACGGCGATGACCTCAGCTTGATTGTGTGTTGTGAAAGTCGAAAACCCGGACCGAGGAGACCTTGGCTGCCACGGCAGTTCCCCACGAGGTCAGCATGGAGAGCCTGACCCTGAGGGAGGGACGGCAAGGATTTGAGCTGATCAACGACCCCGTGGAAAAGGAGTTAAAAAAAGAGGTGCATGTCAGAAAAAGAGCGCAGCAAACCCTGCAGCAACTCATCGACCAGGCGTTTGAACAGCTCTGGTACGGAGCGTCCCCCCGACTTTGGGAAGTTTTGGGCAACGTACGCGCCACTGATGCAACATCGTGATTTTCCCTTTCCAGTATCTTGCAGAAAATTCGACAGCAGCTGACCGCTGACCTCCAGAACAAGGTGGAAACTCTGGATATTGATAATACATGTCTGGAGCTTACAATAACGTCATCCCAGATTTCCCTGAAACCGGATCCTACTCGAATACCTGCAGGGTAATCATCTTTGTAAACATTGATCTATCTTTTTTTTTTTTTTTGCACTCGTAAAAAAATAGTCCCCTATCATTAACTGTAGTTCGTGTACGCCGCACGAGTGGATCCAGTTCACCCAGTTGAATTTGGCTCGGGCCCGTGAAGCAATGGAGATGTCCGAGCAGATGAGGGAGGACATGAGTCTCACCCGAGTCAGCGTACGTGTGATGAAACCACAGCCGTCTGCTCACCGCGTGCAACATTTGAGTCTAACATTCACTTTTTTCCTTTTTTTTTTTTTGTCACCCTCAATTCCTTAAGCTGCAAAACGATTTGAAGAACCAGCAGAGAGCCACAGAGTTTGCGCTGCGTAAGCGCAATCACGAAGAGCAACAGGCTTGCCGTGAGCTCGAGTGGCAACTGAAAAACGTGAGCCGACGACGATCGATACGCGACGCCGACGCCGCAGTCCTGAGAGATGGTTTTCGAAAAATGTTGCTTTTTTTTTTTTGTCACCCTCAATTCCTTAAGCTGCAAAACGATTTGAAGAACCAGCAGAGAGCCACAGAGTTTGCGCTGCGTAAGCGCAATCACGAAGAGCAACAGGCTTGCCGTGAGCTCGAGTGGCAACTGAAAAACGTGAGCCGACGACGATCGATACGCGACGCCGACGCCGCAGTCCTGAGAGATGGTTTTCGAAAAATGTTGCATGCGTTGTCTTCGTGCAGACTGAAGGAGAGATTACAGACATGGAGAATGACATATTCAAGTTGGACGCGGATTTGAAGGCAAAGACGGCCCCGCTGAAGCTGGCCCACACCAGGCTGGAGAACAGAACCTGCCGGCCTGGCATGGACCTCTGCAGAGATGAGGTGGACGTCGAGCGCATCTCAATAAACAAAAGTTTGTTTGTCTGACGCACGTCTTTTCCTTCCTGTTTTCCAGGCGCAGCGTTGCCTTGTTGACGAAGTCAATCAGCTGCAGGCCACAATTGCCATTCTGAAGGAGAAGCTGTCTGAAGCTCAGTGAGTTCTATTTGGATTTGGATGACACGGCGCTCATGCTGCCTTGCGCTTAGCAATCGCGATCCTAACGCGGCAACACAAAGAGGCCGAAACGTGATTTTATGGACGACATTTTCGGATTCACTTTGATCATGAATTTCGGGTCCGTGCTTCTGTTTGTGCTCAGGCACTCGTTGCAGAGACTGAAGCTTCATCACAACCAAATGAAGCAAGATCATGCCAGGAAACGTGGCGCTTTGGCCCTGGAGGAACGTTGCATCAACATCCGCAACCGCCTCATCCCCATATTATACAGCGATGGCACCCCTGTGCCGCTGCTCCTACTTACGAGCTCGAGTGGGAGGAGCACCAGGCATCTTGAAGCCTGACCAGGCTTTCTTCATTTTCACATCAAGTCTATTCTGAATAGAAATATCTATTTTTTACAGTTATTATGGAACTGACACCATGTAAAACTTTAATGACATCACTTCTGTAGAGCGGCCCACATCTTATCTAGGCCTGCTATCAAGACTGCCCCCCCCTCCCCCATTTGAGTGTGTCCATACAAAGCTCACGTTTGTGTTAAGGTCATTCATTTCATATGCTGCTCCATTTTATGGCTTTGTTTGGGCCGTGTCATAATGTTTGACCATCTGACGCTGTTTACGGCGTGGAGAGAATAATGTGAATCCTGACTCCCACGTATATACGCAGAAGGATAAGCATGGATCGTTGGCAGAGCTTTCCATTTGGCTCACCCACACATCACTACTAATCAATAAAGAACCTATGAATACAGACTTGTGATGCAGACATTCCAACATATCTATCACACCACAACAAATTTGACCAAATAAATCAATTCGGAAAAAAAAAAAAAAAGACGAGGAGAAACATGTTTTGTTGTGACTCCCAGTTTATGCCTTTCGCCTTTTGTGTCAGTGCTGCAGCCTCAAAAGTGAGAGGATCAAAAATAGTGGGGGACCCGAACCACTTACCTGTTGAATGCCAACATGAAATCCTTTCATTCCATTGCAACGTATCATCGAGGTGGATGGGAAGTCTGTTTTGGGGTTTCCCACTGTGGAGAAGAAAAAAAATTGCTAGTAAGACGCCAAGAAGGATAACAAGGTCATTTGTGAAAATAAGCATTTGAATAATATTTGTATCTGTATTAGGAATAGTCCATTGCATGAGTAGCAAGGAAGGAGCTTGTTTCGTTAATTATTTCAATTTCTTTTGAGAAGTTGAATTCAGACGAAAACAACTTTAATGGCTTTGTCGAAAACTATACTCATCTGTTTTTATGAGATGTTTAGAGGGGGGCCTTTTGGAAAGTACAAGAAATAATGAACACCCAGAAGGATTTTCTTGGAAAAAAAAAAACACTTGTTATCTGCCAGTGTGGTCCGATAAAATGCATCCACAACAAATCAGCACATTTTCTGCTCCATTTATTTCAGTGCAAGCTTTTTGCTTGGCACGCCCACACCTCTGTCACACAAACACACCCATTTACTCTTGACCGTAAAAGCATGAGATGCTCCTTCAGGTTACAAACAACTTTGTATCTCAATGCCTGGCCTGGCTTCAGTATAAGTCATACAAGTACACACATAAAGGAAGTGTAAATTAAAAACAAACATTTTCTACATTTTGACACAGGTTGTTAACAACCATGCCAAATTTGAAAAAAAAAAATAGTCAAGGTTTGAAAAATAAAGCCTTTGTCTCCACTCTCAAATGTGTTGGGCGTGTCTACTGAATGCGTGTGTACCCCATTAGGTCATCGTGGGGCTTTTCATGCCACTTTCAGGCGCTAGCTGCCAGCTAGCTTGCGACCTAACAGGGCGGTGGCTTGGTAATAACAACTAGTTTGCAATTGCGGCGCACCAGTCAAGCGAACCAAGACAATCAAGTTTTTATATAGAGTGAAAGTGAGACTTTTCCACGGTCTTTGTGAATTTCGGCTTGTACAAACAACGTATTTGTACTTCACTACTTGCCACCGCTGCTCGTTTATGACTACGCCGCGTGGCCCTCCAGATCATTAAAACCGCCGCCGCCTTCTAGAGATGACCGTACGCAACCCTCAAATTATTCTGAATCATTTCACTTCAAGGTCCAGATGTTTTTCCCTCCACTGAGAGAGGGCAATTATCGCAGCCTGATGCCTGCTAAATGTCCCATACTTCTGCATGAGTGCGCTCATTTTCTGATCGGTATCTCACGCCCATGATGTGGCGTACGACAACATGCCTCACCGCCTTCAGCACCGGTACCTCAGCGAGGACGGTCGCTCGGTGAACGACAGCCTCCCTTTCCCAAATGGGGGCTCGTTTTTTTGGGGGGTTTTTTTAGACGACGAATGTAACTCCCATATAGCTAACAGATGGCATGTTTTTGCGGGATTTCCTGCTTCGTCTCAGCGGTGTCGTCCCAACCGTCGCTACGATGCACGTGGCCGTCAAGGACTGCTTTGCTCTCTTTGTCTACTCCTTCACGTTCATGCTGGGCCTTCCGGCCAACTTGCTTGTTCTGTCCGTGTACGTCCGCAAAGCCCGCAAGCGTGGCGCCACGCCCAACGTGGTCTACGCCCTCAATCTCTGCCTCGCCAACCTGGTTCTGGTGGCCTGGTTGCCCGTCAAGGCTTTGGAGACCTTGCTTCAAGATTGGCGGTTCCCGGCTCCCGTGTGCCCGGTTTATAGCTTCTTCCTTTTCTCGTCGCTCTACGGAAGCTGCCTATTCATCACGGCCGTGACGATGGGACGCTACCTCAGTATCGCCTTCCCTCTCGTCTACAAGCGCTACCGCCGGGCTCGTATCTCGTGCTTCATCAGCGCGGCCTTGTGGGCTTTGGTGCTGCTTCACCTCGGCGTCGGCCTCGTGGCCGAAGGCGGCGCCAACTTCGTCTCTGTCAAGGACGAGGCTTTGGCGTGCTACGACCATTTCGACGCCTCCCAACTGGCCGTGCTGCTGCCCCTCCGTCTTGAGATGGCCGTGGTTCTCTTCCTCCTGCCTCTGACGGCGTCGTCCTTCTGCACGCTGCGGTGCGTCACCCTGGTTTGGCGCTCCAACTTACGGCCCGCGGGGAAAAGGCGAGTCCTCGCCGTGGCGCTGTCCACGCTGGCTGTCTTCGTGGTGTGCTACGCTCCTTACAACGCGTCGCACGTGGTGGGGTTTGTGTCGGGGGAAAACGTTGAATGGAGGACGTACGCCATGCTGACAAGCTCCTGTAATGTTTTCCTGGAGCCCGTCGTCATGCTGATGCTGTTGCCGGCCGCATCGAGGGGGGTGGTGGGAAGAATTTGCGCCGGGCGAAGCAGATTCAGTCGTTCCGAGGGATTTCGACAACACTGCACCACTCCAAATACTGTGGCTAATGTCAGGTCGCCAGCTACAATAACCGAGGGGAGCCAAGCAGGGGCGGACGTGGGGTGACTCTCTCTCTATTGGTTATATTTTATTAGTAAGACACAAAAAATGTGAGAAACGGCATCTAAGCGCCAACGGACATTTGAACACAAACTGCACTAACGCATGTCAACAGACAATTGAGCAATACTCACAGGTATATTCTTTATCATCTGCAGAAAACAATTCTATTGCTCCGGCCTGTTGAGTGATTTGCAGTTGTGAAACTCTTCTTTGTGTGCGCATGATTGTGTTTCACCGCCCTCTTCTAGCCAAGTGACACACTTGATTTGTTTGATTATGTTCTTGCCGTATGTTTTTATAAAGTACAATAAACACTATAGAATGTTATTTTCCTGATTAAAATCATGACAGAAAAGCAAAATTGGTTATGCCTACAATTTGTAAATTGTTTCAATGAAACGTGACATCTATGACCACTTGGTGATGACGTGGTCGTCCCCTGGTGGCCACTAAAAGCAAAGCAAAAGCACCAACATCCATCCATCCATCCAACCAATTTTAATAATATATATAATATTTATATAAATACAAAATAAAATAATAATAAAAAATATCATATAAAAATACATAAAATTTTATAATCCACTCACCCATTTTTAATATGCTTATATTTATATTTTATAATGAATATTTATTTATATACTTTTTGTTCTTTTATGTATATATATATATACACACACACACACACACACACACACACACACACACACACACACACACACTTTTGTTCTTCTACTTCCCCCTTTCATAATTCTGCTGCTGTAAATTGGGAATTTCTCCATTGTGAGACAAATAAAGGTTTTCTCATCTTAATGACACATCTTCCTTCCCGCGCTCTCTCTTCCCGAGACCTTTGACACTTGGGAGTGATTACGACAAATTTCTATGTAACAATGCGAGCTTACGAGAGGGAGTTGCGGGGTGATGATGTTTGGAGAGCGCGGGCGACAAATATTGTGTCCGAAAGCTTATTAAATTTCCGCCAGTGGAGGTGCGATAGGAGATATGGAGTGCGATATACTTCCGATGATGTGTGAAAGCGACAAAGCCAGTTGCCAGCGTGTTGGAACATCAGTCACACAGTGATGGAGAGACTGAAGCGTCATGTTTGACAGTGGTCAGGTAGGCATACTTCTACTTGTTATATCTCCTGTCTCGTTTGTAGTACATGTTATTATTTAAAATCTCTTTTGTCGTCCTTGCATTTTTATAATTATTATGATCGTCACTCTTATTAGTCACCAAAGCAAGCGTCGCCAGTAATCCTGTCTGGAAAAAGTCTACCTTTAATATAACAATTGTCAATTCACATTAATACGTTGAGCTAAATATTATGATTGAGATAAAACAAGGGGGGTTCATATTTTTCAACAGATAAAAATAATGTCGCAGGTCTAATGTCATTTTTGGATGATGGTTTTATTGCATTTTGGAAAACAGCTATTCATATATACGTCAATTATACAACATCGACGACATTTTTCTCAGCATAGTTCTATTCTATTTTATTCTATTAGGTGCAATGGTTGCCTTGAGAGACGAGTGACTGGAGTTTTTCAAGATACAAGCAATTGTTCGGCCGATTTTTTTTTTTTGAACAAAAGTTTGGGAAAAAAATAAAATTTAATATTTGCGCGCTGCCTGGTGGCAGCAAACTCTCCTCACATTACAATACGCAGCATTTCAGCGAAGAGTGGAAAATTCTTCAAAACAGAGGCTATATTGGCACTCTCAGAGGCTTTATTGTCACTCACGGTTCAATAATTTGGTACTCGTTTGCACATATTCTTTATCCTCTGCAAAGTACAACGAATGGTGCCATAATGATGAGCTCCGGGGAGCTGAGAAAAAGTATATTTGATCATTTGTGATTCGATGGAGTGAGGAGCGGAAATTAATCGCAACTTTAGGTATTCATATCAATAATGACCACGTTGTTGTGCTCTCCAGTGTGTGTCAGAGAGTGGCATCATCCCCCTTCTGCTATTTGTCTACATCTTCACCTTCCTGATGGGGGTCCCCGCCAACATCCTGGCATTCTGCACTTTCTGCCGCAAGGTGCGCACCCGGGCAGCGCCCATCGACGTCCTCCTCCTCAACCTCACCATCTCCGACCTCATTTTCTTGGCTTTCCTGCCCTTCAAAATGAAGGAGGCCTCGGACAACATGGCCTGGGTGTTGCCCTTCCCGCTTTGTCCGCTTACCGGCTTCGTCTTCTACGTCACCATCTACAACAGCACCCTGCTGCTCACCGCCGTGGGTGTGGAGCGCTACCTGGGCGTGGCCTACCCGCTCAGGTACGCCCTGTGCCGCAGACCTCGCTACGCCGTGGTGGCCTGTGTGCTCTTCTGGGTGGTGACCTCCCTGAATCTCAGCATTGTTTACATCATGCCTTACGCTCAGTGGGAAAACGACACGGCCAAGCCTCCGTCTACCTGCTACTT